GAATACTACATGGCAATGAGAAACAATGAAATCTGGCCATGTGTAGCAACATGGATGGACCTTGAGGGTGTTATGCTGAGCGAAATAAGTCAGGCAGAGAAGGACAAATACCATATGTTTGCATGTATAGGAGGATTAGGAGGAACTTGACGGAGGACCAAGGGGGAGAAGAAGGGCGGAAATGGTGGGGGAAAGGGAGAGAGGCAAACCATGAGAGACTCTTGAATGCTGACAAAAACTGAGGACTGATGGATGTGGGGGGGAGGGGGGATGGGCATGAAGGAGGGCACTTTGGGGATGAGCACTGAGTGTTATGTAGAAACTAATTTGACAATAAACTATTTGTAAAAAAAAAATAAATAAATAAAAAATTTTAATGCTTATTTTATTTTTGAGAGACTGAGTGTGAGCAGGGGAGGGGCAGAGAGAGAGAGACAGACAGACAGACAGACAGAATCTGAAGCAGGCTCCAGGCTCTGAGCTGTGAGTACAGAGCCTGACTCGGGGCTCAAACTCACCAACTAAAAGATCATGACCTGAGCTGATGTCAGATGCTTACCTGGCTAAGCCACTCAGGTGCCCCCTAGAGTAGATTTTAAATAAGAGAACACTGACATAGTATATCTTGAGTTTTATAGTGGTATCCCATAAGAGGGGAAAAGCTGGACATTATGTTTATACCTAAATAGAGTTAAGCTGTTGTTGACACTGTGTAACATGAGACAAGTTTTAGGAATATATTTTTTGAAACGTGTGTGTTCCTTTAATTGAAATTACAGGTTTAGAAGTTGGGAAGCTGCTGGAAAAAATATCTGTGAATATTTAGCAGGATAAAAGTAGTCTGGGGTTGTGACATTGATATTTATTTCATCCTTGTCTTCCCTTTGGATGTACTTCTATCTAGTGCTGTCTTTTAAGGTGACAGTGCTTTCCTGCACTCTTTATCCCTGCCTTTTTCAGACTTCCTTCAGGAGAGTACTGATTTACTCATTTATACTTGTGTTACTGAGATTTATAATAAGAAATATATTTTGGTCTTCGTCCCCATGTTTTACACATTTTTAGAAACCTTTCAAATTTCCTAAGTCATAGTTATAAATGTGTTTGTTATGCTAATGGGGTGACTTTTGGACCCCACGTAAGGATTGGGGCTGGTTTCTGGGAGCCAACCACATGCTTAGAGAATTGGAACTTGTAGTCCCACCCACCCTGAGCTCCAGTCACCAGTGGCCAGTGATATAATTAATCATATTTGCATGATGAATCCTCCATAAAAACCGAATGGAAGAGGGTTCAGAGAGCTTCCAGCTCGGTGAATGTGCGGAGTCTCTGGATGACTGGCATTCTAGGAGGGTATGGAAGATTTGCTCCCCTTCCCCACACCTTGTCCTTTGTCTTTTCCACCTGGTTGGTCCTGAGTTCTCTCCTTCCATAATAAACTGATGATCTAGTGAGTAAGATGTTTCTCTGAGTTCTGTGAGCTGCTCCAACAAAGTAATCAAACCTGGGGAGGGGAGTCTTTGGAACCTCTGGTCTATGTAGCTTAGTTGGTCAGAAGCTCAGGTGATAACCAGGACTTACTATTGGTGTGTGAGGTTTGGGTTGGGGGAGGTGAGGTCTTATGGGATTGAACCCTTAACCTATGGAAATGTGATACTACCTCCAGTGGATAGTGTCCAAATTGAGTTGAATTACAGCATACTCAGCTAGTCAGTGAGAATTTCTTGTTGCTGGTGGGAAAAATTCCCACACATTGCTAATTGTTGGATCCAGAACATTTAATACAAAAATGTTGACCACCTTGTAAGATCTCAAGTTGTCATTTTGTCAGGAGATCAAGCTTTACATCAAAAGAGTAAATCTCTAGAGTAGAATTTGAGAGGGAGGTAGAAGTCTCTTCTAGACATGCCAGAAATAATTTTATGTTCCTGGTTACCTGCTTAGAATGTCAGCCCAACTGAGACTCTGTTAGTAGTTCTTGATGACAGTTGAAAACCTGCCTACATTCCGTTACCGGAAACTTTTCAGAATATAAATACCAGAAATTATGTTAAAAATGAAATAACATAACTATATACTTTTACATATATAGCGAATATGTAAAACTCAACGTTTAATACAAAAGGCCCTTATAAACCATTATTTTTTCTAAGGGAGTTTTCATTACTGTGTCAATTATGGGAATGATTAATGAAGCTGTCACTGATAAATGCTGAAGGATAGGCAGCATCCATGTGCTTATTGACTGATACCTTCCTCTAAGCACAACTCCACTCTGTCAGCCAGTTGCCCTGGCCTTACATGGTGTGTGTGAATTCAGCTATATTTCAGGGTCACACCAGTCCCACTGTTTTTGGGGAGAGGGGAGCAAAGTTACAAGTTTTGATTGTTACTTTAGAGTCCTTGTTTACCTTCAGATCGGTTATCTTTGACAGTTAAGAGTCCTTAACTAAAAAATAGCCCATTTGGCCTGTCTCTGTATATACGAAACTAAAATAGGCATTTAAATGACTGATATTTTATTTTTTTGTTAAGATACCTTAACATAATGGGTGTGCCTGGGTGGCTCAGTCCATTAAGCATCCGACTTCCGCTCAGGTCAAGATCTCGCAGTTCAGGAGTTCAAGCCCCACGTCGGGTTCTGTGCAGACAGCTCAGATCCTGGAGCCTGCTTCAGATTCTGTATCTCCTTCTCTGTCTTCCCCTCCCCTGCTCATGCTGTCTCTCTCTCTCTCTCAAAAATAAATAACATTAAAAAAAAGAATCTCTTAAGGCTTGCTTCCCTCTCTCTTTTTTTTTCCCTTCCCATATATTCATCTGTTTTGTTTCTTTTTTATTTTTTTTTTATGTCTTTATTTTGAGAGACAGAGACTGAGAGCTAGCAGGGGAGGGGCAGAGAGAGAGGGAGACACAGAATCCGAAGCAGGTTCCAGGCTCCAAGCTGTCAGCACAGAGCCCGATTTGGGGCTTGAACCCACAGGCTGAGATCATGACCTGGGCCGAAGTCGGATGCCCAACCGACTGAGCCACCCAGGCGCCCCTCATCTGTTTCGTTTCTTAAATTCCATCTATGAATGAAATCCTATGGTATTTGTCTTTTCTGACTGACTTTGCTTAGCAGAATACATTCTACTTCCATCCATATCATTGCAAATGGCAAGATTACGTTCTTTTTGATCTCTGAGTAATATTCCATTTATGCATATACCATGTCTTCTTTATCCATTCATTAGTTGACAGACATCTGGGCTCTTTTCTTAGTTTGGCTATTGTTGATAGTGCTGCTGTAAACTTTAGGGTACATGTGCCCCTTTGGATGAAAAGACAAATTCATTTTCTCATAGTTCTGGATGTTGAAAGTACCAAAGCAAGGTGTGGCAGCGTCTGTTTCTGGTGAGTTCTCTCTTCTTGGCTTATAGACAGCTGCCTTCTCATTGCATCCTCAACATGCCTTTCCTGAGAGCATATGCATGCAGAGAGAGAGGACTTTCTGTCCTCTCTTCTTATAAGGACGTAAGTCGAGACAGGTCAGTGCCCCACCCTTTTGACAATGTGTAACCTTACTGACTTCTGTAGAGGCCCCGTCTCCACATATAGCTGCTCTGGGGATTAGTGTTTCCGTTTATCAGTTTTGGGAGGACACAGACATTGATTCTGTAGCAGCCACATTTTTATATGTTCTTAGTCAAAATCAAAAGTCTTGTTTGCCTATTTGGGGAGTATATTAGGTTGTTATTTTTGCTGTTTTAGGAACCAAATAAGAGTCATTAAGTGAGAGGCTTGAAAGTCTGAGCTGATACATAGACTGTTGTAAGTCTGAGCTGATACAGAGTCCAGAGGCCATCTGAGGACCCCGTCTCTTCTTTCTTGTTGTTCTTCCATGCCCTAGAGTGTTGACTAGGCATGCAAGCATTAGGTGCTAGTTCACTGCCACCTCTAACCCATGGGAAGAGCTGAGCAGAAAACAAGCAGCTTTCTTCTTAAGGACATGACCTGAAGTTGTACACAGCATTTCCATCCAAATCCCACAGCCCAGGTCTCTCTCTGCTAGGAGGGAGGCTGAGAAATGTTGGGTGGCCATTTGCCCATGTCAGACCCTAGGGTTTTAGCAATTAAAGGAATAAAGGGAAAAATAGAGGCTACTGGATTGTTAGTCTTCTCTATCATAGGGAGTTATTGACTTGAAATTTTATATATTTTGTTAGGACTGACTCATATGTTCACATTTATAGAAACCAGTAAATATCAGGTGTATGGCTTCAATTTATCAAACTATTTAGGTGTTTCCCTTTAAAGTTTAAGGATATTTAAATCTACTTAAAGAATTATAGTTATTTTTGTCAACATAAAAATTAAATGTATCTGTGATATTCTAAATTACTTTTTTCTCTTATAAGAGTCTCCTGCCTCAGTGATAACCATCATGTGATATACTGACTTTTATTTTCTTTTAGGAAATGTAAGTTTAAAACTCAGACATGTGTGGGGTTTTTTTTTTTTTTATGTTTATTATTTATTTTTTGAGAAAGAGAGAGCACGAGTGAGGGAGGGGCAGAGAGAGGGAGACACAGGATCTGAAGCATGCTCAAGGCTTTGAGCTGTCAGCACAGAGCCCAAGGTGGGGCTCAAACTCTGGAACCAGGAGATCATGAGCTGAGCCAAAGTTGGACGTTTAACTGACTGAGCCACCCCAGAAATTCAGACATGTGTTTATTGTCATGAAGGGAACATCTTGAACAAAGGAGTTGACAATAGCAACATGAAGACCATTCTGATGATTGAGATTTCTTTCTCATGATTCTCTTTGGACTGTCTCTGTTTCTCTTTTGCCATTAGCCTTAACATGTAAAAATCTGTATTTGCTATAATGAACATTGACTGCATATAGGTAATTTTTGTTAACTGTGCAAGTCAAGGCTGAAACTGAAAGCAACTTCCTTCTTTACAGTTAATTACTCTCAAGACTTCTGGTTTTCAAACATCTACCAGCATAAACCCTTTTTTTCCAAACAATTTTACTTCATATTCCAATATAAAAAGGTTTAAGTGGAAGTACAATTGTACAGGTTTATATTATAAAATAAACATCACAGATCTGTGACATTTATTTCTCGCAAAGTCAGCAAAAATAGTGAAGCTGCCTTAAATGTACATTTGACATTGGTGGATACTAGAAGACCTAGTGTAGTTTGATAAGCCTAAATGACCATGTTGCTTCTGTATTTTATTTGGGCTATAAAATATCAAGAAAATTCTGATTCATAACATAAGTACTTGAGAATGGTAGCTTGTGTGTTTGCGTTTTTTTTTTTTTTTTTAATATAGTTCACACACCCTGTTACATTAGTTTCAGATGTACAGGATAGTGATTCAACTTCTCTATACATTATGAAAAAATGGTAGCTTTTTAAAAGCCTGTTTCATCTTCAAATAAACTGACCCAAAGCATAAAAAAAGGATTGATAGAAAAGTTTGGATTCGGTGTTGAATCACCAACAAAGTCTGTCACTTCTTCACACTTTTTATAGTATAAAAATCACACATGACACACCCGAAAAACTCAAATTTGGAATAAGTGCTAAAACTCTGTGTTATGATAAACATGTAACAAAGATATGAAGTCACTTGCTACACTGCCCAGCCCATCACTCTCATGAGGAGGGACTGGCGCCATCAGATGTGCTTGAGTTTGAATTTGTAAACGATATGGCCCACATGTGTTACAGTTGTGTGTTCACCTGTACAGGTGTGATTTCTAAAACAAAAAATAAACTTGTGCAGAACCACAACCTGGCGTGTTTACAGGAGTTTGACATGTATATCGATGGCAGGAGCAGATTTATTCCAACCAAAAAAAAAATTAAGAATTTATAGTTTTGGGCCTGTTAAAATTTAGCATATATGATATATTTGATAGTGCATGCTCCTTTGACTACTGTTTGTAAAAGAGGTAAACAGCTTAAAAAGTGAAATTTGAATAAAACAGTGTGGATCCCCTGAAATACATTCTTGGAAACGAGTTTGAAATGAATTGGTATTGACTACTGACACAGGATACAAGGTAGTTTGACCACAGAAGTCTGAGGGCAATTGGGGCTCCTGGGTGGCTCAGTCAGTTAAGCATCTGACTTTGGCTCACGTCAAATCTCACAGTTCGTGGGTTCGAGCCCCGCATCAGGCTCTGTGCTGACAGCTCAGAGCCTGGAGCCTATTTCGGATTCTGTGTCTCCCTCTCTCTCTGCCCCTCCCCCACTCATGCTCTGTCTCTTTCTGTTCCAAAAGTAAATAAACTTAAAAAAAAAAAAGAAGTCTGAGGGCAATTAAGTCTGTGCCCTTGGAAAGCACCAAGATACTTATTTCGGCCAACTATGATATAACCATGGCTAGAAACTTGAGTGTGCTGGACAGTTAAATATTCTTACTCAAAGAAAGCCATAGAAAAAGTAGGGATTGCTGATTTTCATATACCTATACCATATCTTTTTTTGTTTTTTAAGTATTTTTTTTATGTTTTTTTAATTGATTTTTGAGAGCAAGAGAGACAGCACAAGCAGAGGAGGGGCAGAAAGAGAGGAGGAGACATAGAATCCGAAGCAGGTTCCAGGCTCTGAGCTGTCAGCAGAGAGCCCGATGTGGGACTTGAACTCACAGACCGCAAGATCATGACCTGAGCCAAAGTCGGATGCTTACCTGACTGAAGCACCCAGGTGCCCCTCACATACCTATATCATTTCTTAATGGTTTTATTACAGATCATTCTTTCTTTGAGTTAGACAGAATTTTTCTTAATTCACTTGAGCACGCACCATGCCACTTCATAGAGGCAGTTTCAATCATCAGTTATTTTCATACTGAAGATGAATCCAAATAATTAGACATTTTTGACTAATTAAATGACGGTTCTATATTTGAACTAAACTATTTTTGGAGAAAAATTAACACAAAAGAATCCTTTAGAATCATAACATTTTATGTTCTTGAAAACCTTCCCCCCAATTTTTTAATGCAAAGACATTCTCTGGGTCCATGAATATGACTCTTAGAAATGACTTTTTTTTTTTTAATGTTTTTATTTATTTTTGAGAGACAAAGAGCAGGGGAGGAGCAGAGAGAGGGGGGACAGAGGATCCACAGCACGCTCTGTGCTGACAGCAGAGAACCCAGTGTGGGGCTCAAACTCACAAACCATGAGATCGTGGCCTGAGCCGAAGTCAGACGCTGAACTAACTGAGCCACGAGGCGCCCCGTGAAATGACTCCTTTTTAGTAGGTCTGTTTGGTACATCATGACCAAGCCCTCATGAATGGCGATTAAATTCCAGTATATTTTTTTACTTCACAGATATTTTTTGATATGGCCAAAGCAAACTAAGTATCTATGTGAGGAAATTCCAGTTTTTTTTTTAAAGCTGAGGTATTTTCCTGACGTGTAGTTTTTATCACTCCTTTTTTGTGTGCCACGCAGTTGCCAGCAGGTAGAGTGGAACAGGTTTGTATTCAGGTTTTCTTTTTATCTTCAGTATTCTCTTCTCTTCCAGTATTTCCCTTACACTCTTGCCATGCTATGAAAAGACACTCCACGTTGTTGCCGGGTTGGGTGGTAGCTGTCAGTAAAAAGCGCCAAAACCACTTTTTATCCGTAGACCATCCTGTGGTCTTTGATAGCAGCATCTTCAAACTAAATTTCAGAAAAGCAGAGAAGTGGCTGTGTCTCTGCCCACCTTCAGGGTGGGCTTTTCTGCTTTGTAGTTGTTGACTGGTCTCAGGCCACTACACTAGGTAATCTTTGTGTCCCCATTGCTAAATTGGCATCTGTAGGAATCTGTGTACTAAGGCACGGTGGCTAGGGGTGCCTGGGTGGCTCAGTGGGTTAAACGTCTGACTTCGGCTCAGGTCATGATCTCACGGTTCGTGGGTTCAAGCCCTGCATCAGGCTCTGTGCTGACAGCTCAGAGCCTGGAGCCTGCTTCAGATTCTGTGTCTCCCTCTCTCTCTGACCCTCACCTGCTCTCTCTGTCTCTCTCAAAAAAATAAATAAAATGTTAAAAATAATTTTTTTTTAGAAAGAAAGTTTACTCTAAGTCACTGTGGCTAGAAGAAATTTGGGTAGATCTGTTTGTTGCTTTTTGTTTGTTTTTAAGAAAGTACACCTTACTTTCTACATGGAAATACTGTTTTGAGAACTGAATAGAGAGTATCTTTGACTATGCCTTTATTGTTCCATTGTGACCATGTTATAATTCAGTATTTATTATTGGCCTCTCATAGGAAGAATATGAAGAATTGCTTCGTTATGCTATTGTGACTCCAAACGTTGAATCAAGTGCTTCACAGCCATGTCATTCTAAAGAAGTGTTGCCAGATGTCAGGATTCCTACTGTAGTAGATCTTCTAAATACTCAAGGTTATGTATATTTTTAAAGATCTCTCTTAATTCGTTATTGAGCTCGTTAATGCTGTGGACTTACAGTTGCAGAAAGGCTTCTCCAGTGATTCTTTTCAATCAATCATGTGTATCACTATCATCTGGGTAAGGTTTTCCATTTTAATAAGTTACTCTTGGCTCTTAGGGGACAGCTGGATATTTATATGAACTTTGTTTGGCTTTTAGCTACATGAAAAATAATAAAATTAAAGTGGCATTGTAGCCATGGTATGCCTCTCCGTAGAGTAACTTGTATCTCTAATTGTCCCAGTAATTATATACCAGGATTATCTTGGAAACTAAATGCCCAAGGCCCCAAATTAAAGACGCTCCAAAGGTAGCCCTCAGAACAGCTTACGTTTACGAACCATGCCCTGGGACTTTGTCGGCAGCATTTCTGTGAGCCTGGAACACTAAGTTGTCACCACAAAGATGAACCCATTTTGGATTATGTCAGTGACAGAATTGAGAGTGAACACAAGCCAGGATGTGTGTTGATTGGTGAATGAAAGCTGGAGAAAGGAGGATAAAGCTCCTTTCAACTATCCATTCCTTATTGGTTAATGTACAGGATCCCAAACAATGCCCTGTAAAAAAGTATTCCTTCGAAGAGCACAGAAAGCCCTCCTAAGATAGGCCTTGCAGTGGGTAGTTATCCACAGTAGTCATAACTCCAGGGATATCTCCTTGAAGGCACATGAAACAGCCTACTCAGGGTCTACAGGCTCCTGGGGTTCTGGTAAGTTACAGCCTTAGTAGTTTCTTCCTCTCCCTTGGTAGACATGGGCCATTCATTGCTAGTCTTCAGCGTACCTCACTGGATCATCAGATAGGGCTGGAACCTTAAAGTACACATATTTACTTTACCACTGAAACATTCTACCCCTCTACATTTTCTACCCAAGTTTTAATTGATCTTCAAGAGGCAGGACCCTGAGAGTTATTCATTTTACATCACTGATCTTAACCATGTGTTGATTACACTGGGTACCTGAGCCTATAGTTCCTATTGAGCAAACCAAAGAGCTGCATACTCTCTTATAAAATATGTAACTAGTCAATCCATATGTTCACCGTCTATGCCCCTACCCTTAAGGGGGTCACCAGACGCCTGTTTCCTTTTCTACTGGCTGCAGTACTACTGTACTCTTGTTCCCAGTGACACAACCTTGGAGTCCTCTCCTTGCCCCGGCTCTCCACCGTTTCAAGGTCATCACTTGGAATTTAAGACCCCTGTTCTTCTGTGTCGTGGAAGATAGCATTTATTTGTTTATACTCTGCCTTTTCTAAAAAGTATTTGCGATCTAAGCATACAACATGCAGTGAATTTAGATATGTCGATTCACACGTAGACTTGGTAAGAATATGTAAGTTCTCTCCTCTTGGTATTGCTGTTGCTTGGTGTGAGTGGCGTATGTTGAAGTTGGCAAAGTATATCTAAGCCTCCCACACAGCCATTCTTGTGAGGTCTGCCCCCATTTTCTTTCCACCATGTATTGACCAAGGATTCCTGAGGTGCAGGTGAGGGAACCAGTGTCACTTTAGATTGCTTGCTGCTCATGAAAAGCAGCAGGCCCCTGGAAATATCCAGTGTACGATCGCATAGCTTCTAAGTTCTAATGTCGTTATCCACTCAGTCTCTTAGTGTGAACTGAATGTTACAGTAGGTTGAATTCTCTTCTATCTATATGTGGTAGGTAAACTTGAGCTTATTAATGATACAGTTAAGACTTTCTTGTCTCAAATTTGTCCGTCTCTTTGGTCTTTGACGTATTGTTCCTATATCCCCAGCAGGTTGTATTTTGCTTGTTCTGAAATCTTATGTACTGGTACTCTCTTAAATTATGTGTGATTAGGCATTTGATATAAGAGTGGTTTGGTTTAATAAAAAATTTAAAAAAATTTTTTTCAGCAGGAAATAGCCCTGTAGTAAAAGAAACAAGGATGGAAGCTGGAAAGGGATGTGATTTAAATATTTCAAGTCATTCAAAGACAGATGGTATGACTTTTCCTCTGTTTTTATTAAGATACAACATTTTGTGGTTTGATGAATTGTATTTGTGTAGTGAGAGGATCATTTAAGCATATTACTCATTGGCAGGATTTTAAAATGTTGCTGTTGCTGATTTATTAACTGAATACTATTTTAAATAATTTCACAAAATTCTAAAATAGTATAATTAAGACAGGTTAATGTATTACAGTGTGTGGCATCCTTTCTTAAAACTGCTAGGTCAGAGGGCAGTACTTTAAAAGGTTTCATGGGATGTCAACTAGTTTGACCAGTTGCAATGTTTTCATGAGCCAGTGCATTCTTTCCCAGCAGTCAGGCATTCGTGTACCAACTTAGTGATTTTTGTCCTATTTTTATACTGCTTGTTCTATCATTGTGTGTTTTTCTTTAGATCTATTCATTTTTAGCTTAAATTCATTAAAAGGAAAATATGTGTCTTTACTGATTATAGCATAAAACTAATATACCCTTTATATAAATTGAAAGTGGTAAAAATAAATGCAACTAAAAATTAGTAATTTGATTGAATACTGCTGGTGATGTTGTGTTCAGCCTGAAGTCTGCCTTTTCTTTGTTGAAAGGAGAGATGAGCAAGTGTTGCAGAGGTTATAAAAGCACACTAGTGCCAGATTGAAGTGATTGAATAATTAAAATAGAGCGCTTTTTTTGCTCTGTCATTTAGTGTTATTTAATGCAGGGGCCATGTAAGCCACCATGTAAGAAATGTCTCTAGCCTTTAGTTTACTCACTTGTACATAAAAGGCATGGGTAGTGTGATACCTGAGGACCTTTTAAGTTCTTCAGTTGTGTGATTCTGTTTCTTAAAAGGTGAATATATGTTTTAAAATTAAAAATCAGAGGGGCTCCTGGCTGGCTCCATCAGTTAAGGTCCAACTTCAGCTCAGGTCATGATGTCACGGTTCATGACTTTGAGCCCGGTGTCGGGCTCTGTGCTGACAGCTCAGCCTTAAGCCTGCTTTGGATTCTGCCTCTCTGCCCCTCTCCTGCTCACGCTCTGTCTGTTTCAAAAATAAATAAACATTAAAAAATTTTTAAATAAATAAAAATAAAAAATCAGAGCCTATTGCTTTTCCCATGGGTGAAATCTAGTGAAAGAGAACATTCATATACTTTGTCACTCTGCTTTATTCTTTGGGTTTATTCTTCAGAATATGGAGGCAGGTTTCATAGTTGACTAGCCTGAACCATTTATTGATTAATTTTTTATGTAAAATATATTAGGGAATGATTTTCCCTTTTGTGAAGAGTTCTTGATTTACTTTTACATAACAAGTTCTATTATCGATTTAGAAGTCTATTGTAGACTTCTGTTGAGTCTGTTGGACTCATCTCATTCACCAAGGAAGAGGAAGGCCTTTCAATCTTGGTTATTAGGACCCTCGTAACAAAAGTGAGATGTGAAGAATGGTGATAAACAGTCTTTAATTCCAGCATACGTGTGTGATAAAATAGTAACCTTTTCTATTTTGTGCTTTTTAAAGGTAAATGCCAGTTCCGGTACAGGCATTCACCCTTATGTCTATCCTCCACCCCAGCCCACTACCCCCCACCATGTATATGGGCAGAGGATGGAGATCATATACATCTATGTGTATACATACATAGATGTATATGCTTTCACCTATGCATTGAAGGCTAACAGTGTACCTTACAGCTGAGTATCTCTTAAAACTAAGCTACTAGTCTCTTTTTACTTATAGTATTGAATTTTAGTGGTGTTAAAACCCCCACCAGTGTTTTACATAAAGTAATAATGATCTATAGACAACCACAGGGACCTTGGTCAATTACTTAATCCTTTCTATTTCTTTATTTCTCTCTCTCTCTTTGAGAGAGAAAAAGAAAAGGATGGGGCAGAGAGGGGCAGAGTTAGGGAGAGAGAGAGAATCCCAAGCAGGCTCCATGCTCAATGCAGAGCTTGTCATGGGACTTGATCCCACAACCTCAGGATCATGACCTGAATCAAAATCAAGAGTCAGGTGCTCAACTGACTGAGCCACCCAGGCCCCCCTACTTAACCCTTTCTGAACTCACTTTCCTCATCAGTCAAATGGAGATCATAATACCTTTCTCTTAAGGTATCATGTACTGTAAGAACTAATCCTTATAACATTTGTATTACAGGAACGTAGTAAGTACTTAGTAAATGTTGATATGATGATATGGATGATAATAGTTGTGGCTCAGGCTGGATCTGTTAATGAAGCAGATCCTTATTTGAGACAGAGGTCATTTTCGGGGGGAGAGTGTAGGCGGCATCTCATTGCTGGTCAGTCCTTAATCAGTGACAATACTGAAAGTATTAATTTCAGACTAAGTGCAGTTTAATTTAAGAGTAAGTATATTGAGGGACGCCTGGGTGGTTCAGTCGGTTAGGTGTTGGACTCTTGATTTTGGCTCAGGTCAAGATCTCATGGTTCATGAGATCAAGCCTCATGTCGGGCTTGGTGCTGACAGAGTCTGATAGAGATTCTCTCTCCCTCTCTCTCTGTCCCCCATCCCCAGCTCGTGCATATGCACGCACGCATTCTGTCTCAAAATAAATAAACACACAAAAAAGAGTAAATATACTCAACGGTCATTTCTATGCGTTTACCTCCACTTCTGAGGGTAACTGACATCTAATCTTCCACTAGAATTCCTTACCAAGGAATTCCTTACTGGGTTATTCTCATTCTGGCCTGACCACAACTTTTCCTCCATTCCAGGGTCATCGCCAGTGTTGTCACCGAGGAAGCCTTCCCACCCAGTTATGGACTTTTTCAGTTCTAACCTCTTAGGTGACTCTTCCTCACCAGGATCCATTTCTAGTCATGCAGATGGCCAGGAAATCATGGTGGGCGAGTTTCTTATTTCTGATGAAAACCTCCAGAAGATGGAAAGTGTACTTGATCTTTGGAGTTCAGGACTTAAGGTATTACAGTTGCTCAGTTACAGTTGTTTCATATGTAGTATAACAGTTTTGCTCTTGTTTCCACTATTTCCTGTTCTTTTCTTTGAATCAACAGATTCTGTGCAAAAAAAAATCTTTAGTTTTTGAGAAGATTAGTGCAATGCTTTAAATCTGTACTTCTCAGTGTTTAATATCTGTACAAATCATCTGAGGATCCTGTTAAACTGTACTTGTCAGTTGGTCTTGACCAGGGCCCAAGATTATGTATTTCTCACAAGCCCCCAGGTGATGCTACTAGATCAGAAACCAGATTTTGTATTAGCAAGGTTTTCAGTAGTTGCTGGAATAGCTCTGTAGGTGCCACATGTTTCTATTTGGAATTCTGATTTCTCACATGTTTTTAAAGACTCAGCCTACATGTGAACCCTTACCACCTTACAGCTGTGACTTGTGGAGATGTCTCCTTTTATATGAAACACAACATCCAGTTTCAGCAACGTATATTCATTTTGTAGCTGCTTGTAGCAACCACAGTGTGTAACTGAGAAGTCTATAAAACTGATTATTTTAGTGGTGGTATTAGCCTCTAAATAAAATAAAGTAAATGGCACATAAATGGCAATCTTTTTGTATTAAAAATATAATGGAGGGGTGCCTGGGTGGCTCAGTGTTCAGCCTCTGACTCTTATTTTGGCTCAGGTCATGATCTTGTGGTTTGTGAATTCAAGCCCGGAGTTGGGCTCCATGCTGATAGTGTGGAGCCTACTTTGGATTCTCTCTCCCTTTCTCTCTCTCTCTCTCCCTGCCTCTCCCTGCTCCTCCTGTACTCATGTGTACTCTCTTTCTCTCTTTCTCACAATAAATAAACTTTAAAAAATATATATACATATATATATAATGGAGAAAATGACCATTTTTCTGAAACATAGTTTGAGAAAACTGAATATTCACATATAGTGAAATTATGATAATGAGAGTTTTATGGGATTTTTATTTCTCTATTATTGGGAACCATAAATTCTAGAAATAATCCTTAGTATAATTTTTACTATTTTCCCCCTTGGAACAGGTTTCATATTTATGTCTCAGTGTCAGTCCATTGGAGTGGCTACCACCACTCATGTAATCTGTTCTCTGGTCAGTTAAGCATATTGTTAGGCAGTTTTTTTGAGAACATGATTATTTGGTATTTTTACTTATGTCACTCGGTAGGGTGAAAAGGGATCAGACTTAGCAGTTTGCTTTAAGATGGCCTTTGTGATAAACGGTTTCGGGGAAGAAGGCGCCAACCCTCCTCGTTTCCATCATCCACCTCTATCTAAATAACTTCCCAGTCCTGTGGCTGAGCCAAGGCCATACCCTGACTTTCTGCTCTCCCTGATCTATCTTAATACGGACATTAAAGTCCTTGAATCAACCATGTATTTATTAGTGAAGGAGACCAGAGATTTTTTTAAAGGACAACAGAGTTTCATACAACGTGACTTAAAGTAGGAAAAAAATCCATTTTGTTAGTACAGTGTGACCCAAGAAGAGCCATAGCTGTTGAACTTGCACTTTCATTCGTCGTTTTTATAAATAGCTCTTATGTTGATTGCTTGTACTGATTATTTTTAATGTTTCTTAATTTCAGTGTAATTTTAAGAAGCAGTATTAAACACACTGCTTTAATTGCTGGCATATTTATTTTTCAGACAAACATCATATCTGAACTAAGTAAATGGAGACTTAATTTTATTGACTGGCACCGAATGGAAATGAAAAAAGAGAAAGAAAAACACGAAGCACATTTAAAACAACTGTGCAACCAGATCAACAGTTTGAAGGAGCTGCAAAAAGCCTATGAAGTCTCCATTGGGAGAAAAGATGAGGTCTTCACTTTTAAATTTCTTTTTAAGTGAGATGCGGTAAAAACCCTGCTAGGTAGTAAATGCCAGCAACTGATTATTTAGGTCATATGAGATACAAAGGGAAGATTGCTTCAGAAACTGGAAAAAATAGATGCATAGAAATAATATATATTCTTCCCCTTAAACATGCCAGAGACTTGTCATTTAATCTTTGTCATCAGCTTCATTGTGCTCGAAATTTTAAAAGTGCCTGCTAAATGTGGAAACACTAATTTCTTTTCCCCAGTCTTTTTTTTCCTAATTGCTCTTAAGGGAACATTGGGGAATCAGCATTAATCACATTTTAAACTATCTTTTTAGGGATCATTTTAAGTATTTCACATTAAATTGACATCTTTCTTCATTGATGAAGTCTTTTTCATTTTATGGGTAGCCATAGAGAACACATTTTTCTAAAGATTATTTATTTATTTTGAGAGGTGGGGGATGGAGCAGAAAGAGAACCCCAAGCAGTCCCCATGCTATCAGCACAAGCCCTACTGTGGGCTCAAACCCATGAACTGTGAGATTATGACATGAGTAGAAACTGTCAGACGCTTAACCGGCTGAGCCACCGAGGTTCCCCGAGAGTACTTTTTATTTCATTTTCCATTAGCCTCTTAAGAACGAGAGAATAAGGTTCAAGTCTCTGGTAATTTTGTGCCTCCCAACAGCACCTTCAACACAGCAGACTGGGCAGTAAATCCATGGCTCCCCCCAGGAGGGTGTTGGCTTTCAGAGGAGACGCCTCAGCTCCCTGTCTGCAGAGGCAGCAGTATTGTAATGAACTAGATAAAGATTGTATAGTTTTTTAAATTTACATTTCTTTTGATGTTCAGGATATAAAATCAAACATTTATAAACGTTTTTGAAACACTAGATACTAATGTCACTCATTTTCTCTCTTGCCGTCAAAACTCTATCCTGAGGTTTTTAAAATATTTTAAACTTTGTCTTTTTTTAATTTCAAAGTGTCACATACAAAAGACTATATACATAAGTGTCCAGTTTCTGAAAATGAGTAAGGTGAATGGCCTGTGCCTTTAATGGAAATGTGTGCCCTTTTCCACTTTTGAAAATTATTTAAAGAAGAACCAGAATAAATGTCTCTTAGTAAATATGCCTAATATACTAAATCCTACTTTAATGCGGCCAATTTAAAATATATATTTCAGTCGCTCAATTCTTTATAAGAAAGAATATAGATTTGTATATTTTTTTAAAAAGAACAAGAATAGCATCACTAAAGAAGTACATTATAGTATAATATTGATGGCTTTTATGAGTTTGGTGAATCCAGAAAATCCTTAAACAGTTACTGAGCAACTTCTAATCCAAGGTATTAAAGGTATTTAGGGACCAGAAAGGTGTTTAAAACCTGGTCCCTACCCTCAAGTGTAGTGAACAAAGACTTTCTGTGTATGTAGCAAAATATTCAAATGTATAGTTTTCTTTCCTGAATTAAATGTCAGTGACTATTAATTTTCATATACATATACTTTTTTGTGATTACCAAGATAAAAATAATGAAGATTTTTCTTTCTTTTCTCTTTTGCTCTCCTTCATTCATTGATATATAGTGCATTCATGTGGGCAACCTTTTTGGTCTTTTTAAAGATAATAATGAAGTTAACTAGATGAATATAGTAGTGATCTACAAGTATTTTGAGCACTTTTTGATATATGTGAAAGTCACTTTACCAACATTACAATAATTGGGCTAATTGCTATTTACAGGTGATTTCTAGCTTGTCTCATGCCCTAGGCAAACAAAAGGAAAGGATTGAGTTGATGAGAACATTCTTCCACTGGCAGATTGGCCATGTTAAATCCAGACAGGATGTAAGTATAAAAACAAAACAATAACTGACAGATACTAGACTTCTGAACTCAGAAGGGTTTAGGATCACATTTTAGAGCTCTTGTTAAAGTCCAAGAAAGATTTGTTTTCTAATAAATCAAAATGAATTTACAATTTAATGTTACTTGGATTTTAAAGGAATTTAATTTTGCCATAGCTTGAGAAAAAATACCTCATATTGTATAGATCTATCGATCAGTCATTTCCTACTTCATAGTAAGTAAGGGTCATACCTTACTTACAAATGCCCTTGTCATGGAACCCTTTTAACAAATTTAAACTCATACGCAGTTATGTGGAGAGAGAATTTATAATCTCTAACATATCATATGCTTCTTAGATTGTTTCTGCTTCAGAAATGCCTGCATATCCATGTATCTTCTTCATAAAGAAGCAGCACTATATTGATACATTATAAAATTGTGTGAATGTTTTTTTTGTAGACTTGCCTGAGACTGAGAATCAAAGAAAGCCATGTCTGTATGGCTTTTTAAAAATTATCTTTAGTTTGTTTATTATTTAAATGTGATTGTCTTTATTTGAATTAAGAGTTGAATCAGAATAGCAGAGTAAATATAAACAGAATAATAGTATCAGAAGTGGAAAAGATGCGAGAATATGTATATCCTACAAGAAGACAGAGTATAGAGACTCAGTAGTGTAGGGGATGGATGTTTGTGTGTTTTATTGATGTTCAGGTGAGCCATGGAACGATCTCTGTGCATTTAGTTCTGAGAGATTAATACTTAAGGAAAAGGCTATTACTGTCATGGAACAGGATTTCTCCTTGAAGAATTCTTCCTAGTGCTTTCAGTTCTTTCTTATTAATCCTAATAGATTGAATCTACACTAATCATATTGAAAAGAGCTATTTAAATGAGTATTCCGTATTTTGAAAGTTATTTACCAAGGGACATAATCAGAATGTGTTATGTTTAAATGTTAGTGGAAATAGCAAGGCTGCCATGAGTTTTTGAACAGCTTTTTAAATTTAAGAAAATTGAAAATTGGCACTATTTCTTTAAAAGAATTTAAATTCATTGGTGAAGGAAGAATGGTATATGTTTCTGTTTAGATCTGTTTGGCCCTGTGTGTGATGGCAAAGTGTGTAAATTACATTAATCTTGCTTATGGTGGTGGCCACCAGACTGAGGAGAGGCACCTGAGGCCATAGCCACCACTCTTTCTGCCTTCCAGCCACTCTCTGTTCTCCTAGGCCTGTGCTGAATGGTCCTGCAGATTCATAACTCCGACACCAGGTTACTCACTTTCTTTCATTTGTGGGTTTTTTTTTCCTCCTAACTTGATGAGTTGCATAAAGCAGTGATACAAGGATTGGAGGTTAGGTTCTGAAATGAGGCAAGGCTGCTTTTTCCCTCTCTACGAAAGCTGTGTGACCTGGGCAGGTTCCTTAACCTCTCTAAGCCCGTTCTCCTGACTACAGATGAGAATAATATGATTATATAGGATTAAATGATAACATATGTATACTGCTTACCACTGTGTTACATTATGTTTTTTAATATCCCTGCCTATATATTTACCAGCCCAGCCTACTGTGTTTTTGAGGTTGTATATTACTTTCATTTAGGTCTACGAAGGTAAACTAGCTGACCAGTACTTCCAGAGAACTTTACTGAAGAAAGTCTGGAGAGGCTGGCGATCCATAGTACAGAAGCAGTGGAAAGATGTGGTGGAACGAGCTTGTCAAGCAAGAGCAGAAGAAGTCTGCGTCCAGATTTCCAATGATTATGAAACTAAAGTTGCTGTGGTAAACTTTTTTTGTGTATACCTTCACTTTCTTTTAATAACAGTTAAAAAGATGGATAGCATCACTCACTGTTAGTTTCTAGGTAGGCATAGTAACCCATTTCTCTGGTTCCATTTAATGCCACGTAGGTTCAAATGAGACTCCTGGGACAGAACAACACTGTTAAGTCAGACCTACAGACTTATTTACTCTGACCTACAAACTCAGTGTTGGATCTTGTGTATGTACATTTCCCTTGGAAATGTAAATCACCCATAGACCCTTACATTTCTAAGAAAGCATACTTTCTTAGCCTTCTTCATTTGGTCTTTATTGAGCTGAAAATAAAGACTCAAAACAAAAATGTTTATCCTCATGCTAATTTAAGCAAATTATGTTCTTATAAGGTTGATATAAAGCAGTTGCATATACATTGAAGTTCTTTTCCCATTGACTTATTAATAAAATAGACATCGTTTCCAAGGGAAAATATTTGAGCCCCAAAATGAAATAAAAACCATAGTGAAGAATGTGGTAGGCCTCTTGAAATCAAATAGTGACAGAAAAGCCTATCTTCACCATTATAACACTAAGTTCTTAACGTTAAAAATAAATGTCATTGTACAAATAATTTTCTGCAATTCAAAATGAGATACCAAAAAAATGCAGTCCCTTCAGGTTGGTCAGTGGGAAAGAGTGTTGTACCTAATGTCACTTTGCACTTTATGTTTTCCAAATGACATTTAGTAAAAGGAAGGAAGGGAGGGAGGAAATTCAGCTAATATCGTATTTAGGTATTTTTTTCTGAAGAGGCAAGAGTCTAGCTTTTCATGTAATTTGGGTAATATTATACAGAAATGACATATCTGTATAATTAAAACACATTAGCAACCTTTGGTGGAACTGGTATGAAATTCTCCTTGTTTGAACCTCGATTTTATGGTTAGGAAGGAACATGGTTTGTTGATGGAGACAGCAGAGGTTAAGACTCACCTTTTGAAAGACATTGAGACGCATAGCAGAAGTGGTATGTGGTAACATGTTGCTAGTGTTTCACACAAAAGTGACTTCACAGCTCGAGATGGCCACGCCGGCAGCGCCAGTGAGTGCTCCTGCCACCACTCCAGTGCCAGCCTTGGTCCCAGCCCCACAGCCTTAGCGCCGGCTCCAGCCTCCTTCTCAGACCCAGCGGCTACAGCGGCTTGGACCACGGGCTCTGGGCCAGACCCCATCAAAGACCCCAGTGTAGTCGCTGCCTGGTCCTGCTCTCCCAGGCCCCGTCCCCAGCAGCCGTCCTGTCCGGCTGCACCTGGTCATTTGGCCTCCATTGTGGACAGTGACAAGCCATGCAATGAAGGTGCTGCCCGGGTTATTGGCACCCTGCTGAGAGCTGCTGACAGGCATTCAGTGGAAGTCACAAACTGCCTTTCATTGCCACACAAGTCAGAAGATGAGGTGGCTGTTGACATGCCATTCACTAAGAACATGTATGAATTACCAAGAAAGTCTCTCCAGATGAGCTCATTCTGGGCTGGGATGCGACAGGCCCTGACATTACGGAGCACTCTGTGCCTATCAGGAGTCCTACAGCCCTGAAGCCCCCAACCTCGTTCATCTCACCTGTGGACATGAGCCCTCCGAATGGCCACCTGGGTCGGCACGTTAATGGGTGTCCTCGGGGGGAAGTCCATACCTCTAACAGTGAAATATGCACATTATGACACTGAACACATCGCAGTTGACCAGATCACGAAGACCTGTTTTAGCCTCAACCCAGTGATCGGACTCTCAAGCGACTTGCAGCAAGTAGGAGGGGCATCGGCTGGCATCCAGGATGCCCTGAGCACAGTGTTGCGGTAGGCACGGGACGTGCTGTCTGGAAAGGTGTCAGCTGAGGAGGCCGTGGGCTGCTTCCTGGTGAACCTGGTTACCAAGTACCCAGGATAGTTCCCGTAACTTTGAGACCATGCTCAATGGCAACATCAGTGACCTGCTGAGGGTGACCTGCCCAGCCAGTCTCATGTAGTCACAGACTGCCCTCAGTGAGAAGCCATTAAACCTGTCCGTGGGCCCCAAGCGGCACTCCTGTCAGTCTGGGCTACCCTAGAACTCAGAATGGAGTGAAGTAGAATGGTTTCCTTATGGTTTGAGTCATACTGAGTCAGTCAACTGCTTGTGACTTTAAATCAACATAGCCTACCTTTTGTAAAAAACAACACAGTATAAGGCTTTTTTTGGAACACTAAATAATATCCTTCCTTGATTCTCAAATCTTTGTCTTCTTTTTTAAAATTCCCCTTACTTAGTTATCTGGAGCACTGGAAAATGCAAAAGCTGAGATCCAAAGAATGCAGCATGAAAAAGAGCATTTTGAAGATTCCATGAAGAAAGCTTTCATGAGGGGGGTGTGTGCATTAAATCTCGAAGCCATGACTATATTTCAGAACAGAGGTGAAACAGGTTAGTATTATATTTAAGGTTCTCTGCCTGCTTTCAAAAAGGATTTGAGGATATTTCAGTGATTGGTTCATCTGTAATACTAATTTTCTGCAAAGAATATACTGGTACTTTTTTTTCATTGGTTTATATTTTAGATTTTTTAAATAAATTTTTTAAAAGTTTAGTCATTTATTTTGAGAGAGAGAGCATGAGTGGGGTAGGGACAGTGAGAGAGGGAGAGAGAATCCCAAGCAGGCTCCATAGCACAGAGCCTGACATGGGCCTCAAACTCATGAACTGTGAGATCATGACCTGTGGCAAAATCAGGAGTCGGACACTTAACCGACTGAGCTACCCAGGTACCCCCAGGTATTTTTAATATCTGGTATCATATCCAGTTTTAAATCTGCCATAAAAATCACTTAGTCTTGGTTACCTATGGTATCTTAGATCGGATCAAGTAAACTTTCAACTCTTAAGTGTTTAGGGTCAATGTTAAAATGATGCTTTGAATGTATAACATTATTTTAAGGCTCTTTTAGTAATTGCAATGCCTTTAAGTACAGAATTTTTATTTGTTTATCAGTAGCCAAATTCCTTGGACTATTTTGTTGATGAAATATTTATCCTAGTCATGGTTTCCCATTTTAAAAATTGATTGTCCTCAATTTAAGAGAGGCCTCAACTGAAACTAATTTTCAACAAATATAAATACAGTCCTACCTACAGAAGTCAAGTAAAATAATTTTATTTTAAGAAAAGTCCACATATTGCCTGGAATCTGTGTGGATTCGTGTTTCTTCAGCAGGCTTAGAAGAGCACATGACCCGAATCCTTTGCCACCAGTTTGCACTGAGGCCTATTCTCCTTACTGGGTTTTAGTTTTCTTCTCTGAACAAAGAGGATAATATAAATCTTCCTACCTGCTTCACAAAGGAGTCTTGTGGCAGTGCAGCAAAATATAATTGAAAGCTCTTTAAAGGACAAAAAGTACTTTGCCCTGTAAGATGATAGGAACGACGTAATTAGTGCAGTCTTAAGTCAACCTGTTTTATGTAAATACATGAACACTTTTTGCAGTATTTCCTCATATTAAGTCCTATTTGAGACTCATACTTTATGAGACCATTTCATTTTGTAACAGCATTAATAATCCAATCCAATGAATAACTTTTCTCTGGTTGTCATACCTTCATTTTAGGCATCATCACACATTTATTATTCAAATTGTTCATGTTGTGGATACTAGCAAGTTAAGGCAGATAACTTTTTTCGAAAGAGGTCATGGTGTGTAGCCCACATGCAGGTTTGAAACTTTCAATCTCAAGGTTGACTAGTTTATCTTGCTAATATTCAAAGGAATACTTGATTTCTCCAATAAATGGTCTTTTAATTGAATGTCAACACTAAAACTCACCACCACCACCACTTGTCTTTATTAGTAAGTTGTATGTATTAAGTTGAAGAATTTAATTATCTACATATAAGAGATCCTAGGTTTCACAAGTTACAAATTATGATCATTAGAACTTCCTACATTCATGGCCACCTAGCTGGCTCAGTCAGTGAAGCATCCAACTTCAGCTCAGGTCATAATTTTGCGGTTTGTGAGTTCGGGCCCCCATTGGGCTCTGTGCTGACAGAGCCCTCACTAGCTTGCGCTCTATCTCTCTCTCTCAAAAATAAACAAACATTAAAAAAAAAAGGGGAGGGGGTTATTAGTGCCCTGTGTTCAGACATTCTGAATTGTCTCAGTGATTGAATTTCCAAACCCTCACCCTGGTGTTAGGAGCCACATAGATACAGTCTTAAGTGGAAATGTTAACCAAATTCTAATACTGGGGGGGCGGATATAAAATTTGAAGAAACCCTTTGCGCTAGCTTCTGGAAGCTGATGTTACTCCTTTGATCTAAGGGTAAGATTCATTTTTGAGAAATTATTATGGAGAGTGTCAATAAAATTAGTTAAGTGTACAAATATACTTTTAACTCATTTATATAATCTACTTGCAAGAATTGATTTCTTTTATAATGTTAAGGGTAAAAATTTTACTTTACATATTAATTATTTTTTGATGGAAAATCAAGTTTAAAACATAGAATTTTAGGGCACCTGGGTGGCTCAGTCGGTTGAGCAACTGACTTTTGATTTTGGCTCAGGTCATGATCTCACAGTCTGTGAATTTGAGCCCCACATCGGGCTCCCCACTGACAGTGCAGAGCCTGCTTAGGATTCTCTCTCTCTCTCTCTCTCAAAATAAATAAACTTTAAGAAAATAATAAATTACATTGATTTTGTTTAGATAGTAGCAGTAGAAGGAAATGAAAGGGTATAGTGTTACCAGAAAACAATTCTGAAGATCTAAATACCAGGCCACTTATCAGGATGGTTGTATGAAATAATGCAGAAGGACATAAATGCTTAGCCTCAGTATGACCATATTATTATGATGGATATTTTAGCAATATACTTTACTCCACTGACATCCTAGCCGAGTACATACTTATTTTTTTCTTTGCCATAAGAGCAGATCTTTAGCTTTCACATACTGAAGGGAATGGTATGAAGTCTTTAGTGGTTAATGTTGACATTAACAGTTACTAATCATAAATTGTATTAGCTAAACATTGTATGCAATACATGACAAATTTCTACATATTCTTTAGAACTAAATTTTAGCTATTATGTGTTTTCATTGTTGGGGGGCATAAAAGTCATCTTAACTTGTAAGAATTTTAATGGAATTAATTTGTGATCGATAGGGATAGACTTCACAAATAAAAAAGAAGAGTATGGCCCTGGCGTTCACGGAAAAGAACATGGTGCTCATTTGGATCCTTTGGCCCCTCCGATGCCCTCAGTGGTTTCACGGCCACCATCTCCCCCAGCAGCAGCCATGGGAGCGGCTGGCGCTACTGCGTTTCCCTCTACGGCTTCCGCCGGGGCCGCTTCCACTTCCTCTGCTCACCTTCCTGTTTCCTCAACTCTCGGTGCTGGGTCTACAGCTACTGCTGCACCAGAAGAAATGGTTAGTACAGTTCATACAGTTAACACCCAAGTGGGAAAAGGGCTCAAAACCTGACTGTATATTGGATACTTTTAACTTAGAACATATTTTCCCATGGAGGAAAAGTCTACATGGTATTTAAGCTAAGCCACAGAAAATATTTAATATACAAAGTGGCTAAAACAACTTATAATGAAAATAATAGCTAAAACCTCTTTTATAGTAGAGTGATAACTAAAACAAAAATAACTTTCTCATTTCACATTTTTCAAGATCTGTTCAGGAAAAATAGATTTGAGAAAGAGTGAATGACAGTTATTAATTTATTTTGAAGGGAACTCTCCTAGGAATTAGGCTTAGAAGGGCTTAGAAGATTACTGGCTCTTTTGTGTATTTTGTATTCAGCTATAGCTTTCCCTTTTCCTGGATGCAGATGTATCATTAACACTACCCTGTAGTTACTCCATCTTGATTGGATTAGGTTCTCGTTTTTAATTCATAATTAGAATAAAGAAGAAAAAATTTCCTAGAGTCACTTAGCTACTTTTAAGAGACGTACATAGAGTGTGGAACTATTGAATGGGGATGGAATATTTGTGTGAGAACTTGCCTGTGGGGGAATTAATCCAGCTAATTAATATGGAAGAGGTACCACAAAGCACATCAGGGTGCTGACTCCTGACCTCCTAATTGTTAAACCCATGTTCTTCAAAGAGCGATTCTCAAAAGTGAAGGGAGTAGGGGTACAAGCCATGCTCACTGGACTCACATCTGTAGGGCTTTTTAAAAACACTCTATCGTCCTTCCCTACTGTGGCTTGGCTGAGGTACAAAGGCCTGTCTAGTATGATAAAGTTCCTGAGAGGACTCTGATTTGCTCGTGTCCTTCTCCTCCCTGGGCCTCACCATTTACCTGAGAGGACAGCAGGTGGCAGAATGGGTTTTCTATTGTACAGTGAGTTCCCCATCCAAGGCGCCATTGCCCTGGACAGCTCTCTGCAGCTAAGGCAGGCATGCGGTCAGCCAGACAATTGGTCGTCTTGAATATTCCAGCTGACTTGAATTTCTGCCTTTTGGAAGCTACTGACTGTGGAGAAAAATATGTTGAGATCTGCTATTTATTATGTTTGCTCTTGATTCAAAGAGGTGAAGAAAATATAGCTGTTAAGAGAAATTTGAATGTGTGAGGGAGTTCTGACTTAGAAATAAGACACTAAAATTCAACTCTGACTTATGTTCAGCTGTGTTTATTTTTCATGATGACACATTTTGAAGTGTGATCCTATACAAGATGATCTCATTGAAGTAAACACAGTGGGTGTCTATTTAAATTTCTGGTTTGTCATTCATGTTGCATATTCACATAACACACAGAGCTAGATTTTTCAAAATCCCCTTCAAATATGACTACACCATTTGCACATCTGCATTTATATACAAACCTGGCTATATATTGGAAGAACCGCAGGCTTACCACCTTCCTTGTTACTTTGTGAAACAGTGTGGTCACGTGAGATAATTTTGAAGTCTTCAAAACCTAAAAAGCACAGTATTGTGTCAACAGCCTTTCTAACTACATCCTCCTTCATAAACAGATATACACATTCAATTTTGTTCACATAAATACAGCCTGTAGGGTTAGAGGAGAGGAAAGGCAGAAGCAAATCAGTCTGTAAGTGTGCTGCTAATTTTCTTCCTTGCTTATGTAATTAGAATACTCAGATTCAGATTCACCTCAAATGTGTCCTCTTGTTTTTAAAAAGAACCATAATAACAAAAGATGGAACAAGTACATTAGTTGGACAGCTTATCTAATGTGAACCCATCATTGTTGGGACTAGCAAAGGAGAGACATGTGATCCAGGCCTGGTTATCTTTCTTTTCATTTTAATCACAGTGGCTTCCTTTGAACATTCAAAACTTTTCCCGAGTCTTCTTGGTATTTCCAGTAGCTAAAAGCAGGTGTATACAGAGAACAAGTTGCAGAGAACTGGGAAACAGACAACTGGAAATAGAAAGGTTACCATCCTAGCGAAATAATACCTTCATCTGTAAAATTCTTTCCTTTCTGCAGACATCCTCAGTATGTTAAATAAAATACCAGAATTTCCTGGTGGAAAGCACTTTTCAAGAATTACATTAGGCAGTTATATGAGCATACATAGTGCAGTTCACGAGGTTGAACAATAGGTGACAATTTTTTCTTTTTCTGACTCACAGTTGGAATAGTTGAGGGGTTTTAGTCGGAATTTTAAACTCTTTAGTAAAAGTTCCCTCTTAACTTTCCTCTTCATCTGAATGGACAGTGAAAGGATATCGTTAGGCACTCGGCACTGCTATCCTCATTTCATAAATGAGGAAACTGAGGTTTGGAGAGTGGGTGACTTGCCTTTGGACGCAGTGACAGAATTCAGACTTTGACCGTTTGGCCACAGAACCTTATTCCTTAACCAATCATCGGGTTTGTCTCCGTGTCAAATATTAAGATACAAATATTGAGGTTTAAAAATAGTCATTTCCCTTTTCTTTCTTAATCCTTTTGATTTTGTTGCTTTTATTGATATGGCATAAAATGCTACCATTTCCATTTTTATACCATTTTTTAAGTCAGCTAAGCTCTTAGATAAATTTAATAAGATCCAGCATGACTAGGACCAGTAAGTTTGGTCACTTAACCAAAAAGTCATTTAAAAAAAAAGTCAGGGGGCACCTGAGTGTCTCAGTCAGTTGAGTGTCCGACTTCAGCCTCAGGTCATCACGATTTAGCAGTTTGTGAGTCAGGCCCCACAGTGGGCTCACCGCTACCAGACTGTCAGTGCAGCACCCGCTTCGGATCCTCTGTCTCCCTCTCTGTGCCCCTTCCCACTTGTGCTCTCCCCAGAATAAATATTTTTTTTTTTTTTTGTCTTTAATATTTTTTTTTTTTTTTTTTTACAAATAGTTTATTGTCAAATTAGTTTCTACATAACACTCAGTGCTCATCCCCAAAGTGCCCTCCTTCATGCCCGTTCCCCCCTCCCCCCCACATCCATCAGTCCTCAGTTTTTGTCAGCATTCAAGAGTCTCTCATGGTTTGCCTCTCTCCCTTTCCCCCACCATTTCCGCCCTTCTTCTCCCCCTTGTTCCTCCGTCAAGTTCCTCCTAATCCTCCTATACGTGCAAACATATGGTATTTGTCCTTCTCTGCCTGACTTATTTCGCTCAGCATAACACCCTCAAGGTCCATCCATGTTGCTACACATGGCCAGATTTCATTGTTTCTCGTTGCCATGGAGTATTCCATGGTATAGATAAACCACATCTTCTTGATCCATTCATCTGTTGATGGACACTTAGGCTCTTTCCATGGTTTAGCTATTGTGGAGAGTGCTGCTATGAACATTGGGGTACATGTGCTCCTATGCATCAGCATTTCTGTATCCCTTGGGTAAATTCCTAGCAGTGCTATTGCTGGGTCATAAGGGAGTTCTATTGTTAGTTTCCTGAGGAACCTCCACACTGTTTTCCAGAGGGGCTGTACCAGTTTACATTCCCACCAACAGTGCAGGAGGGTGCCCGTTTCTCCACATCCTCGCCAGCATCTCGAGTTCTCTGATTTGCTCATTTTAGCCACTCTGACTGGCGTGAGGTGGTATCTCAGTGTGGTTTTGATTTGTATTTCCCTGATGAGGAGGGATGCTGAGCATCGTTTCATGTGTCTGTTGGCCATCTGGATGTCCTCTTTGGAGAAGTGTCTGTTCATGTCTTCTGCCCATTTCTTCACTGGGTTGTTTGTTTTTCGGGCGTGTAGTTTGGTGAGTTCCTTATAGATTCTGGATATTAACCCTTTATCTGATATGTCATTTGCAACTATCTTTTCCCATTCCGTTGGTTGCCTATTAATTTTCTGGGTTGTTTCCTTTGCTGTGCAGAAGCTTTTAATCTTGATGAGGTCCCAACAGTTTATTTTTGCTCTCGATTCCCTTGCTTTTGGGGATGTGTCAAGTAAGAAGTTGCTGCGGTGGAGGTCAAGGAGGTTGTTTCCTGCTTTCTCCTCTAGGGTGTTGATAGTTTCCTGTCTCACGTTCAGGTCCTTTATCCATTTTGAATTGATTTTTGTGCATGGTGTGAGAAAATGATCTAGTTTCATTCTTCTGCATGTTGCTGTCCAGTTCTCCCAACACCATCTGTTAAAAAGGCTGTCTTTTTTCCATTGGATATTCTTTCCTGCTTTGTCAAAGATCAGTTGGCTGTATACTTTTGGGTCCACTTCTGAGTTCTCAATTCTGTTCCATTGGTCTATGGGTCTGTTTTTGTGCCAATACCATACTGTCTTGAGGATGACAGCTTGTAGTAGAGGCTGAAGTCTGGGATGGTGATACCTCCCGTTTTGGTTTTATTTTTCAGTATTACTTTGGCTATTCGGGGTCTTTTGTGGTTCCATACAAATTTTTGGATAGTTTGTTCCAGAATAAATATTTTTTAAAAAGTCAGTTGGGAAGGCTGGGTGGCTCAGTTGGTTAAGCGTATGACTCTTGGTTTCAGCTCACAGTTTGTGGGTTCACGCCCCATGTTGGGCTCCATACTGACAGTGAGTGGAGCCTACTAGGGATTCTTTTTCTCTCTCCCTCTGCCCCTCCCCTACTTGCACACACGCTGTCTCTCTCTCTTTCAAAATAAATAAATAAACATTTAAAAATTGTTTTAATTAAAAAAGCCCATTAAAGCAGGAAATTTTAAAAAATTATATATACATATCTTACGTGTTATTTTATGCTAAAACGTGTGTATTAATTTGCTAATTTTTAATGTGGGACCAAACTGACCATAGGTTCATAGATTGTAATTAAGCCATCTCTTTTATATAAACTATATACAGATTATTATTTCTATAATTTCCAATTTCAGTTTGTAAAGAAAGAATCTATCATATTTGTAAGGCAATCTGATTACAAAACAAACCATTTGAAAACAAAGCTAAAAAAAAAGCTAAAAAAAACCCCCGAACTTGGTAAACATGCATAAAGCTAAAAAAAAAGCTGAAAAAAGAAAACAAAAAGCTGACTTGGTAAACATGCAGGTCAATTAAGACTGCTGTTTAATTTAAATAAGTCTATAGAGGCTTCTTTTTAAAGTCTTTATTTCTTTACTGGAGTATATATTTTCATCTTACCGAAGGCATTTTAAAGCAGTTCTCAACTGGGTGAAGTTATCAGCTGTGGGCATTTTTCCAGCTACTGTAGTTTTTCTTTCCAAATGTCTCCCATTCAAAATGTGGCAGGTTTCTTTTGCATTCCTTCCCCCTCCAAGTGGGAACAGCTGTTTGGATGGGAGTGCTTATACCCCTCAAATGTGACTGGGCAGGAATAAGGTTACCAGCTCAATTGGACTTCAGTTTGCAATTATTCATAAAGAATATTCTTGCCAGCAATTAATTTTATATTTTGCATTTTAAAATAGTTTTTAAATGTTAAGATACAGCAGTTTATAGAATCTTTTTTATACCTTATTTTAATAAGAAATAGGATGAGGTTTCCTTAAGGTCAGAAGCATGAATTTAGTCCACAGAAACATGTCTGTAAATATTTTAGGATCTAGTTTTAGTTGCTTAAATTCGTAAGATCCATAAAAGTTTATATTAAATAGCCAAATAGTTTCTACAAGTATGATAGTGAGAAACAGTCCTCTACATACCTCTCCCTAAATTCTATTAGCTGTTTTCTCCTATTTACTTTCTAATTTCCTAAATAATATCCTCATATCTTTATTTACACATGCATTAATTTTAAATTTTATCTGTTGGCAAATTATTATGGATGAAAGAATTGACTTTTTTAATACCATCTTTTTCCATCCCTTCTCCTCCCCATCCTCTTTCTATAATTAAATGTAGATATTCCAAACTTTGCATTAAGTTAATATTTATGATGACTATTTAAATATAGCTAAGCTGCAAATGTATACTATGCCTACATTTCTTTTCTGGTACAATTTTTTGTTCCTGGAATTGATTCTTTTATTTTTGTCTTTGCTTGATTATCTGTGCAACTGTAATTAAGTCTGTCCAAACTTCCAAAGACTCAAAAAACCTCACTTACTGAGTGCTATTTTCTTAAAGTCCTCCCGACACATCAATATTCCATCATTTAAATTTTCCCAGAGGTATTTCTTCATGGAACTCACTATTTATCTGTTACAAGATACTGCTGTGACCATCTGCAGCTAAGTGCAGATAATATGAAGAACTCAGTGAGTGATACCTAAAATAACAATGAGGAAAGATCACTATTTAATAATATGGTTTTGGGAAAAATAGAGGGAAAATTAGACTAATAATTCACACTGAAATTTCAAATATTTTAATAAGTTAAACCAAAATAAGTAAATGTTGGAAGAGTATAATGACCTCAACTGTCTAAAGCAGGTTTGTTGATTGCTTTATGGAAGAAATTAGTGACAAAATTAACTACAATTTTTTAAATCTATGTGCATTGAAAAATAAAACTGAGGGGCGCCTGAGTGTCTCAGTAGATTAAACGTCTGACTTTGGCTCAAGTCATGATCCCATGGTTTGTGGGTTCGAGCCCTGCATCAGACTCTGTGCTGACAGCTCAGAGCCTGGAACCTGCTTCGGATGCTTTGTCTCCCTCTTTCTCTGCCCCTCCCCAGCTCATGCTTTGTCTCTCTGTCTCTCTCTCTCCCTCAAAAATAAACATTAAAACATATTTTTTAAAAAGAGATAACTGAGATAACCTTGAATAGGGAAAATATGTAAGATGTAATCATTGCAGGAAACTGGGTGAGGAATACACAGGACCTCTCTGTACTATCGCTTCAACTTCCTAGGAGTCTATAATTATTTCAGAATAAAGAGTTTTTTTTAAGTTTACAAAATCTTATAAAATGGTTGGGTACACCAAAGTTATAAAAAGGTGTTTTGGGGTGCTTGGTTGTGTATTTTGCCTTTTATCTCACTGTTTTAGTTTTTCCATGTTAAAGTCGGTTAAATTATTTTTCAAGTGCCTGTTCATCAGTTACAGCAAAAGTACTATCTATTTTGCCATGATTTTTTACCACCTGGATATTTCTTTGTTTTTTTAGTACATGCCCAGAATTGTGACATCTGCACAACAGAAAGCAGGAAGAACAATTACAGCCCGCATCACAGGGAGATGTGATTTTGCCTCAAAAAACAGAATTAGTAGCAGCTTAGCTATAATGGGAGTTTCTCCTCCCATGAGCTCAGTTGTTGTGGAAAAACATCATCCAGTCACAGTGGTGAGTATATGTATTTGATGATCTTTATCAAAAAATCTTTTTTCCTGAGAGTTTATAGACTAATTAACACTTAAGTTACATGTTGAGAGGATCAAAATTCATGATGACTGTTACTTGTTCTACCTTTTATTGTTATAGTCTTTATATACTTGGAATCACCAAACCTGATCTAAATCTGCTTTTCCTCTTTTTTAGGAAATTAATTTTAGAAACATTATTTCTTCTCAACAGTGTAAAACTTATCAACACATAAAGTAATCCACTGTGTTGGTAGCCAAAAGAAATATATAAATGATTTCTCATTAATTTAAAAAAAGAGACAAAAACTGTTTACTCATTACCTGCTGTTCATATAGTAGGTATTTGATTATAAGAAACACTTTGATATTTTTATAGTCTTTAATTTTTTTCCTTTTTTTTAGTCTTCTTCCCCTTTTTTTCAACTGTCAGCTTATTTGTAGTGTGGAAAAAGATTCAAATTTCACTAAATTCATGTGATATAAAGGAAAATGCCTAGTATTTAAGCAAAAATAAACAAAAAATCCTGAGTGAGTGACTCCCTTTTGCTACCTACTGCCTTTGATCACACATATCAAGTAAAATATCTGAACCTCCACTTTCTCATGCGTAAAATGGGACTGTTAAGGGTACTTAGCTCCTAGAGTTATTTGCTGGTTTTAGGAGTAACTGAGGTAATGTGAAAACTGAATAAGATATATAAAGGCACTTCATAAACTGTAAAACCACAGTGTTGTCTAACATTGAAAATTTATGTTAGGAGACTTTCTCTTTTAAAATCGGTTGTTTCTCCCTGAACATCCTAACATCACCCTTTGAGGGTAATAGTGTTTCTTATAATCAAGTACCTGCTATATAAACAGCAGGTAATGTGTAAACAGTTTTTGTCTCTTTTTTTAAATTAATGAGAAATCATTTCTTGCCTTCAAAAAGGCAAGAAAATAGGACCATTCTAATAGGAAATTTCTTTTTGATGTCTCTCTGTTTTTGTGCTAGTAAAAAAATCTTTCCCTTTTATCATTAAAATTATTGAGAGGTCTTACCATTTCCCATTTTTAATTGTCAGAGTCTTAGGAAAATGAAGACTAATGCACTAAAATCACAGAAATCTTTGTGTGTCATTATTACCCTTCTTGGTCAAATTTAACTTAATAAAAATTACTAGAGAAAGGTACATGGGATACATATAAATCAATAATTGCCTCATGAAGTTTAATTTTTGAAAGTTATAAGGTCACATCCTTAAAGAGGAACAACAACTATAATAGTATCAGAGTTTTAGCAAAAATAAATATGGGATGGTTTTTATATCCTTTACTTTCTGGGCACTAGATGGCCACTAGATGATTAAATCAATGCAAGCTGGAGTGGTTCATTATAATTCATTAAATTTAACCTCAGGTAAAGAATGGCCACAGTGAATTGGAAGACTTAGGCGGAGCCAACATGCCCAGATAAGGATATGGAGGATGGATGGGGGTCTTAGCCTGCAGAGACTGCAAAGTCTCTGAAAGTCCTTAGACGACCTCTCAATTTACTTTTGAGTATGTGAGTTCAGTTATCAGAAACGAGAAGAGAAGAACTCATTTCTGTTTTTCTCAGCACATACGTGCATAGAGAGGGAGAGGGACTGTCCATTTGTATGATAAAGAAGGTGTAAAGAAACCATATATATGCTTTTAATTTAGGCAGCCTTTGTTTCTGAATTTTTTTAAATGTTTTATTTATTTCTGAGTGAGAGAGAGAGAGACAGAGCGAGCTGGGTAGGGTCACAGAGAGAGGGAGACACAGAATCTGAAGCAGGCTCCAGGCTCTAAGCTAGCTGTCAGCACAGAGCCCGACGCGGGGCTTTAACTCACTAACATGAGATCATGAGTTGAGCCGAAGTCGGACACCTAACCGACTAAGCCACCCAGGCGCCCCGAGGCAGACTTTGTTTTTGTACTAATGATAGAAATTCGTATTCTACAGAAAAAAAAATGGAAATAGTCTTAAAACCCGTTTCTGAGATTTACCTCCCCAGCTGCCCTTTGCTGATTCACTATGTATAGTACTTCTCCAGTAATTGCTCATGAAGGAGACAGCCATAAACTGCTTCCATTATTACCTAAGTGGGATTATGTAACAGACATTGTGGCGGTCCTCTGTACTATTTTTCATTTTATCCCCAAAAATCAAGACCTGTCAGATTTCTGACACTTTAGCCCCATCTGCTGGATAATTGCTTGTTCCTAGTGCTACTTCGTTCTCTGCCATTTTTATAGATCATGAAACCATTGGTAAGGTGAATCTGTTTCTACACTCCCTTTTTCCCATCCTCCCCAAGGAGAAGTAGTTCTTTTAACAGGGTCAGATTTGGTGGTTAGCAACCTAATTTTCATACTAGTTGGAAGAATCTCCCCCATCTATAATGGCTATCTAGTTATTTAAGTACAAAGAAACATTTATATAAAATACTTTTAAGACAAAGAAATTTCTCTAAAGAGGAACTCTTAAAACAGAATCTGCCATGAAGACCTTTAAGAGTTTTCACTCATTTAAGTAAAAGCTGCATCACAGGATTTTTAAAATACATAACGAATGCTTGGATCAACTGTATATAATTTTACTTCAGGGATTTTAGAGATGACTTTTCTAAGTAGAAGACCCTGCTAGGAGTTTCCATGTACTATTCAGTGAGGTGGACTTAGAACTGGATAACAAGTCTACTAAGAAGCTGTATCCAGTATAAAGTAGAAAATCCTTGCACATTTTACACATGAGTATACACGTTGTATGTACTTACATCCATAATATATACTTGTACGTATTCTCTGCATAGATGAAGTCAGTGGTGCACTGACTGTACTGCGTCAGTGCTGAGGTCCAAGGTGTTCCCTTGAGTTCTGATGTAGTGTGGGTATCCTCTCAGTGTGTGTCCTCAATGTCTAGTTATTTCTTTGCATAGAAAATTGTAATCCACTTTAAGGAGCACCGGGCATCTGGAAAGATCTCTTCCTGTATGATCATAAAAGGTTTAGTCAGCTTCCAGGTGAACTGGGTTGAAATAGGAGAGATCTGCTTTACTCTGATTTGAAGCAAGGACCAGACAGGATTCCTCAGAGTTTTCCCTGTGTTCCCTGATTGAACTCCCTGTGTAACCTGATGTTAACAGGTACAGCGAGGAGAATACTGCTTGGAATCAAGGGAGGACTCAGGGCTGACCCTTCTTCCAAACACTATAAAGTCCTTTTCTACATCTGGTCTCTAAACATTCTAAGATTCCACTTGAGTCCTCTTTGAGGAATGACTCCCATGGCTCCTTTTTGTGATCCTCTGGAATACAAGCTGAGCAGAGGGTATTGGGCACATCAGTCTAAATTATGGATTACAGACCATTGTTTGGTCCTTAATTGTTTAATGGCTGCTTCACCAACTTATTGCACGTATCTACCGGGTGCTTAACAAATGTTTGTTTGGTTAAATTATATATAATGAAATGGTATTTAATGTGTGTCATTTTGTGGGATTGTTAAAGCAGATTTTTACCTTTTCAGCAAACCATTCCTCAAGCTGCTGCTGCAAAATATCCCCGGACGATTCATCCCGAAAGTAGTACCTCAGCTTCTAGATCCCTCGGAACGAGGTCAACTCACACGCAGTCTCTCACAACCATCCATTCCATAAAAGTGGTTGACTAAAATGAATATGTACATATTGAGACCTTTTAATTCATCTGGTTTTACCAAGGATTAAAAGCCTCTGGTTTTTAAAATTTCATATTCTTAAAACATCATGGATACATCATGTTCATCTTTTCAAAATTCCAAGAGGCTTTTTCAAGCCATACCATCCTTTGTAACTATATTTAGGATTATTTTAATGTTTTTTTTTAATTTAAGCAATTAAGTAAAAATTTTTTAAATTAAAAATGACTTGATTTTTTTTTTTTTTTTAATGTTTGTTTTTTTTTTTTTTTTTTATTTTTTTTTTTTTTTTTTTTTTTTTATTTCTAGGAGAGAGAGACAGCGTGAGCAGGGGAGGGTCAGAGAGAGAGGGAGTCACAGACTGAAACAGGCTCCAGGCTCCAAGCTGGCAGTCAGCACAGAGCCCGACGCGGGGCTCGAACCCACAAACCGCGAGATCATGACCTAAGCGAAAGTCGGAAAGTCGGACGCTTAACTGACTAAGCCACCCAGGCGCCCCAAAAATGACTTGATTTTTTAATAGGTTCAACCTGTCACTGATTACATCATAAAAATATATAAATATTTTTTTAATGTTATTTCCAAAAGGCTAAATCATTTCTAGTGTTACCAAGTAAACTTTGAGAACTTTACTAAAAAAATTATTAAGGGGGGCTGGGTGGCTCAGTCGGTTAAGTGTCCGACTTTGGGTGAGGTCTTGATCTCGCAGTTCGTGAGTTCAAGCCCCACGTTGGGCTCTGTGCTGAGAGCTCGGACCCTGTAGCCCACTTTGAGTTCTGCATCTCCTTCTCTCTCTGTCCCTCCCCCATGCATATTCTGTCTGTCTGTCTGTCTGTCTCTCTCTCAAAAATGAACATTAAAAAATGTTTTTAATTATTAAAACTAATAGAAACTATTTTTATTTTAAAATTAAAGAGATAAAGACCAAGAAGGATAATAATGACACACAAAGATTTCTGTGATTTTAGTGCCTTAGTCTTCATTTTCCTGACTCTGACAATTAAGAATGGGAAATGGTAAGACCTCTCAATAATTTTAATGATAAAAGGGAAAGATTTTTTTTACTAGCACAAAAACAGAGAGACATCAAAAAGAAATTTCCTATTAGAATGGTTCTGTTTTCTTGCCTTTTTGAAACTCTGCAGTGTTGAACCTTTTTTCTACCTGAACATCCTAACATCACCCTTTGAGGGTAATAGTGCTGGGCAACTCAGCAAACCTGCGCCTGGGCAGAGACTTTTCAATGGCCGCCTGTAGGAAGAATCTGGGTGAAAGTGATGAAGGAAAACAAGACCAGGCTGACTGGGTGATCTGGGGTCAGACATTTAATTTCATGAGTCTTAGGATCCCATCTGTGAGACATTGAGATCTGCCATCCCACCTATTTCACAAAGTATTTTGGGTTACATAAAAAACTAGTATAAATTCTAAAGAATCTGACGAGTCGTAGTTTTCATATCTGGAAATGGATATGAAAGCAGAAGTGGATGGACTTAATTAGAAGCTTCTTTCACTCTGAACATGACCTAGTTCTATGCTCTAACGTTATTATAGGAAATACTTTTTCTTATTGCTTCAGATTGTAATGGAAGATGAGAATAAATGTGAAATATGCCAATATCTGGCCCGCTACCACTGTGGGATAGCTCCTCGTGGGTTTCAACAAACACAAAGCAACAGCACCTCATCCTGTGCTACCTATACCATGGCCGTGCCTATCTCTGGGCTTCCCCAGGCACTCTGAGAGGATCACAAGAGACCACAGGCTTCACTTGAAGCCTACTCATACACAGCCCAGAATTAACACCCCATTGAGTTAACAGATGAGATTTTCCTTTCTCCCTTGTACAAACTGCCGTGAGGTGTACCAGTCCAGCCCTTCTCTCAGAAGAGAGTACCCTCAAAGTCAGATTATCAGTTATGCTTGCTGCCAGGTCGTGGCCAGTGTGGTATTTCACCTTGGTCTGGGCTCTTCTTTCTTCTCCATCTCACTCCCCTTTTCCCTTATTCTTGCTTCCATGGATTTCCACTCCTTAAAAAAAGCAGCTATGCATAAACTTTGGTCTCAAGTTCTGCTTTTCTGAGGAACCGAGGTGACAGCTGGGAATGGTTTTCAGTACCCAAGCCATAACCATGTGGACAAGCTAAGGGAATGTTAAGAATATTATAATTGAGAATATCGTAAACATTTTTTAAAAGGCATTTTAGCTAAGCTCTAGAAAGTATATAGTGTCCAAAGCAGAACCAAATAGTGTTAGCCTAAGTTAATTCACTTAAGAGTATGTATTCTCTTTATTTACTTTTGCATAAAGAGGTTACCCAGATTTTGGAAAGGGAGTAAGTTGCATGGTCAGTGGAAACCAGCCGTATTGAAGAACAGATGGAGACATGACTTTTCACCGAATAGTTTTCTTAAAATCTTTTTGGACTCCTGTGAACATATGACTTGTTTTAAACATTCATAGAAGTAAGTGGGCCATTTACAATCCACATGAGGCCAAGATGTAAAACTGCCAATTCAGGATAGAATAACTGGACTGATACTGCTCATGATTTTATCTCTGGCACCTTAGGGAATTAGAATCAGAGTTTGAGAATGGAAATCCTTAAGTTATCATGAATGGGTGCTTATAAGCTGATATGAGTTGATACTTAATTTCATATTTATTTCAAAACTTTCTCAGATTCTAAAAATAATGCATGCTCATGGCCAAAAAAATTGGAAAGTACCAAAAAGTACAAAAAAAATAAATCACCTGTACTACACCACCAAGAGATTTAAAAAAATACATTGGTATACATATTTCCGGTCTTTTCTAAGCACTATTATTACACATATATGTTATTTAAAGCCAACAGTAACTACAAATTTTCAAAGGTAGTTTCTCTTACTGAAGAGAAATAACTCACAGGGGATGATTTCAATACTCTGGGCCTGAGGTTAGGGATTTTACAGGCATTCAACCTTCATCATCAGTGCTATGGCAGAGAGACACTCCTCCCATTTTATGGAGGAGGAAACTGAAGATTTGAGAACTTGGATATTAGTATGCCCAAAGCCTCACAGTTAATAAGTAGTAAAACCATTATTAAAACCATGTCTGTCTATTCTAAATCCCTTGGTTTTTCCCCATGCCAGGATGCTGTTCCCACCATCGTTTTTTTTTTAAAAAACAGGATGAACCAAAACTTAGATTATGCTACACATATGTTGCATCAAATGGTAGAAATGCAAAAATCATATACAATTTGCTTTAAGCAAAAAATCAAAAAAACCTTTGACCTTTCATCTCAGTAGGTGTAAAGTATTAATACCATTTTTTCATCTGTCACCACCATCTTCATAGCTGAAAGGAAAATCAATACTATTGCTAGGACTTTATGGCATTAAAGAACTGAATGTAAAGGGCAGTGCTGAGTGGAAAACCAATTAAATACAATTTCTTTAGGCATTTATGAAACTGCACATTTCTTGGACCTTGCATCAGTTTCATTTTTGAATTGACGGATCTTTTCTGAAAAAAAAAATAGGATAACATTTATTATTAACTAAGCACTTGCTACGTACCAGGCACTATGACTCAATCCCACAAGAACCCTTGACATACAACTTTTCTAGTTAGTGAAGGAGAACACTGGCACAGTGAGGCTGTAGAACTTGCTCAAGCTCACACAACCTGTTCATGCTGGAGTTCAGATACAGGCCCGCACGGTCTTGCTCCTGAGCACATGCCCTGCACTGCCTCAGTGGGCTGCCTCTTACTCTCCCCCAAGAATTCTTATGGATACTCTTTTATAGAAACAAATACATTTAAAATTGAGGGAACAATCCCAGTGCTGTGATGATAATGTCACCAGAGCAGACATTATCCACGCATGATTCCTTTACCTACCACTGCTTGAAACTGCATATTGGATCAGTGGTGTGATTCATGCAGTGATGCTGTGAGGTTCAGGTAAAACTGCATCAGTGAAAATAATGGCAGATGTGCCTATATTATGCTTGAGTCGTTATTATTACAGGAGACTTGTAACACCACCTAATTTATTGTTAAGTTTTAAAGACATCTTCCCTGACAGTATAGTCTTTGGGCAAGTGAATTTTAGCAGTAACCTCAGCCGCCAAAGTAAAAGCCCATCTGCTCTTTTCTTTTAACCTAGAGATAATCCTTTTGAATATACCAACTTGCAAATTTCCCCAACAGGGGCAAAATGGCATTTTGAGCAGGACACTGCTTAGTTATGGAAACTATACTAAAATCTCACAAGATGGTTTATCATTCCTGCCTTCTCCTGGCACTCTGCACCCTAAACACACACCTCCAAATCCTGCCACACATACACAACAGAAATACACCTCCACTTCTTCAGATGCCCAGTAGGGGGTGACACTGAGAACCACCAGGCTAAACCACGATCAGTTATTGACTGAGTCACTCACCAGAGGAGCTGCATATTTATGAGCCACAGCTCTCCCGAAACTGAGACTGCTGCTATTTATGGACAGTATTGTTTCAGGGGACCGTCCCCACCATTTTAAGGGAGAAGGAACTTCTATCTTGAAAATTTAACTCACCAGCTAGTTCTGGGAAACCTGTGCGTACCAGCTCTTCATACAGATGCTTGACCGGAGTGGACTGTGTCATCAGGGTCCCATGCAGCCAGATGAGCAAAGCCCTGTGGCCGTGTTCACGGAAACTTCCCTTTCCTGTGCCAAGCACATAGAGTCAGAGGCGAAACACCACGTGCCGATGTCTCTTTTTATTGTGATCTCCATTCTAACGGAATTTTCTGTGGTTGCAACTCATTCTTCTGATGGCCTTTAGAGAAGAAGTCCAGTGGATGAAAGCCCTTCCAGTTCCCCTCGCTGGAATTCATGGAGGGTGACCAGAGTGTGGATTCACTCCAGCACTTGCCATGCACCTACTGTGCTTGACACAGACCAAAGGAGCAGATATAAGCTTCAACAGCTAAGTCCCTGCCCAACGGTAAGGGACAATCTTCCTGAGATGTGGAGCTCTCCTCCCATGTTCAGGTAGCACTGCTACACACCCCCATTTCTCCAACTCACAGTGCATATTTCACCTGGGGATCCTGTGAGGACGGAGTCTCATCCAGGCAGCCTGGGGTTAGGCTCTGCACTTCCAGTAAGCTCGCAGGTGCTGCCGCTGCTGTCCATTAACCACACTCTAAGCAGCAGGCGTGCGCCATCGTGCCACTCCAGTGTCTGATGGAAGTCTGCGTGCCCTGGGCCAGGGCGACTCACTGGGCAAATACGCCCTGGATACCTAACCCCTGAGAGATGTTTGGGGAAGAGCTGAGACCCGTGTCTCCAAGGAGAGGTCGCGGTTACAAACACAAGGCAGGATCCTAGTTCTAGCAGAGCGTGTGTAGGAGCAGGCAGATGCCTCGAGAGGAGGGCCTGAGCTCTGGGGAGGAAGCTTGCTGGAAAGACTGTCAGAGAAGCAGGGAGAGCCACCTGGACCCGGAAACAATGTACTCCTAGGCACGTCCTGTTCTTCCTTCATCTTGCATTTGACAAACTAATTCTTAAATGCCACCGTCAAATGTCGCTCCTTTGCTTAAAAGCCCACAAACTCCTTAGTGGCAGTAGCGTTACCCTGGATTGTATTTGGATTGTGCATGTTGCTGTTGTCATGCCAGCTAGATTATAAATCCCACCAAACATGCACCCTGCCTTACAGAGCTGATTCAGCCCTCGCCTGGTCGAACAAACCACACTCTAGGCACTCCGTACTGTTTCAACTAAAACACGTTAAGTCCCCTTTATCCTGCTGGCAGGTACTCTGAAGATACACTGTATTTTCAAATCATTTCTTTAGGTCAAGAGAGGTTTTGAGACGGCAACTAAATTTTCCTAAATGCGTCACAGAATGCTGTATGCCTGATTAGTGAAAAAGGAGAAATCTTAACAGTAGGAAAGGAACCTTTACAGAAGCTGTAATCAATATTCAACATCTTCAATGCATTATCTTCCATTTTTTACATGACAGTGTAGCCTTAGAATTAGTAATATAAAGTGCCATAATTTACTTGTAGGTGGTTTAAGAAGCATGTATTCAGGGGCTGTGATTTTGCTTTCTACGATCCCAGCAATCAGTAATGCAGGTCAACTCCTGAGCATGGGACTTCTTTACATCTCATAATACCCACGTAAGGAAAGTGCTCTGAATGGAACATTTTGTCAAGAAAAGTATGTGCTTTCTTGTCTGTAAAGCTAATTAGCTGATTAATGCCAAACAAATTTTCTATGTTTCCTAGGTTTTTGTCAAATCATAAAAAAAGCAAAGCTAATGACTCCAGCTGACCTGTTCTCACTAATTCTGACAGCTGGAGTCTGGCTGAATTGCTTCTGTGGCTTGGAACTTTCTCCTCGGGAGAGGCCTGAGTCCGTATCCCAAGTCTCCCATGGGACAGCTGGTCTCTCATCCAAGGCCTTGTCCTGTAAGAACTCTGTATACCAGACTTGGCTTAAGGGAGTCCTCCTGGAGTGGAAGCCCTAAACGGTGAGCCTTTTGTTAGGGAATGAACCTTTTCACCCCAAGACAATCTCAAGGCATACTAGAAATAGGCTAGTTTCCCAGGGATACGCCCACCAGTAAGTCCTTGCTTCCTTAGTGCCTATTCAGTTGGGAACCTTAATTTCCTTAAAGGTTAAATGCCACCTTTTCATTTTGGCTCAGTAAAGTAATTATCCTTTGCAAACTTCAGTTTACTCTGGAATGATCACGGTTTGCAAAGTTCCCAATCTTTGTGGTCTTATGCTAACTGTCCCCATTCCTGGGCCCTTTGTAGTCTGCAGCTTGTCATGAGCACCAACTACTTACCTGGAAGATCTCCTGCCAGGAAGGCCTGCTATTCCTATCTCCCCTCGCATCACCTGGGCCATGCTCACCTGACCACTGCTGCTCGATGGCTCTGATCTGGTCATCTGTAAAGTTCCAGGAACGGGCTAGCCTCTGCCATTCATTGGCCTTTAGCTGATGGTAAGCCAGGTTCCAGAGGATACTGCGAATATGCCTGGTCTCCAGGCTGTGATCTTGCTTGAATGTCAAAGTAAAGCTGGTTGATGGGTCCCTGATGTTCTCACCATGCTCCTAAATTAAAGGTGACTGCATCAGATGGTTTCAGACATTTTGCGCATATTGCCTTATTTCATGGAACATAGACAATTTTTCAGATATAACTGGTAAGGTGGTAACTGAGACTTAATGTTTTCAATATTACTTGTAACTGGATCACTTTTTGTCATCCAAGGTGGAGACAAATGTCTGAAGTAAAAAGCTTGAGTACGTCTGACATAGGAAATGTGAGGGGGTTTGCTGTGTTGTATTCCATGCTTCTATCCCAGAACAGAGGATATTTACTCACCCCAAAACAGAGGGGATGCCTTAGCTTAGGAAACATCACATGTCACAACAAAGGCATCTTTGAAGGCCTTACTTTTAACCAATATCCCTCTTTCTTCTTTTGCATGTTTGATTTTTCATATCAAAGTCTCAGTGAGGCCCAGATTGGACACACTCTCTTAATTAGGACCCCAGAGCTGGTCCCTCCATTCATCCTACTCTGGTGCGAGGAGAGCAAAGTAGAAGTCTAACTTTGGGGGCCAAAGGAGTGGAGAGGACAGGGATCAATACCATTTTGTCTTAAGCCACCACAACCATTTCTCTGCCTGGACTGATGTCTGGTTTTCTGGGTTTTCAAAGACTCCTATTGTGCCTTCTGCTAACTCCAGCCAAAGAAACTGGAGGACAGTCTCCAAGTGAAAACAGGTGTCATGGCTCCCTCAAGCTGCGCCTGTCCTGCATATGCCATCAGGACTCCAGACAGTCCTCCTTCAGGAACACTTAAGGACATGCAGGACACACAGCCCAAGCGGTTGGGGACTTCCTATCATCCTTTTGTACATATGGCAATTCCAGTTTTTGTCTTTCACTTAAATAAAAGTGAATCTTAATAATCTGAACAGCAAGAAAAGAGTCGGTGCTGGGGCAGGAAGCAGACTAAAAGGATATGGCACCTGGTCCTCAAAACCTCTGAGAAGAAAGCAGTGGGGCCTCTGCCTCAGCCCCCAACACAGAGCAGCCTGTGAATTTCACAGCATCTGCAATCTCCTCTGGGAAGTCTACAAAGCCCTGGGAAGCATGCCAAGGAGACGGGCCAGTCTTTTCTCTCATATCTGGACGTTGTGAACAGAAGTTGGAATAGGAATGTTTCAGAGATTGTAAAATGCAGGGTTCTCTCTACCGCAACCCTAGCTTTACTCCAACAACGCCTAACTCCAGGGGAGTCCTGAGAGGAAAGGCTGAGGGCGGGGCATCCAACAAACTTGAGAGCCATGGGCACTTCACTTTTTCCTTTTCTCTTCATTCCCTTTCCTGAAACAATGAGGAATCCAACAAGATCAACACCCAAAACATCACAAAGTAGAGGGAAGAACCTGCAAAATGCATTAACCTTTGTATCATAGTGTTTTTATTTCTCTGAGAAGCACACATGTTCTGTGCATTCTGGGATTGAGCCGAGTGGTCCTTCAAGCTTCCATTGGAAAGGGTCAGGGATCTGGAAAGCCTAGTTCTTTTTCTTTCTTTTTTTTTTTTTAAGTTTACTTATTTGCTTTGAGAGAAAGAGAGCACAATGAGCAAGGTGCAGAGAGAGAGCACAATGAGGGAGGAGCAGAGAGAGAGAGGGAGAGAGAGAATCCCAAGCAAGTTCCATGCTGTCAGTACAAAGCCCAACACACCAGGGTCGATCCCATGAATTGTGATACAGACCTGAGCTAAAACCAAGAGACAGACATTCACCCAATTGAGCCACCTAGGTCTCCCAGTGCAGGTCTTTTTAAACAGTCCTTGGAAGCATTAATAGTGTGTCTACCAAAGCACTGGATTGTTTGCAGGAGTATCACATGCTTACACGGTGGAAATTAAAATAGCATGAGACAGATTTTAGGAAGCTCCTATCTGCCTCTGAACCACTGGATTTAATGACTTACATTAGGCCAGAATTTATATTAGGCCAGTATATAAATCTGCTTAATAAACAAAGAGAATTTAAAGTAATAATAAATGGATTTGGCTTAAAAAAAGGATATATCTGTTTAATGAACAAAGTGAATTTAAAATAAGTAATAAATGCGTTTGGTTAAAATTTTAAGGATATATATTTTAAAAATATATATCCTTCCTCCTACTCTAGATTTTGGTCCCCAGTTGTTACCAACGTGAACTCTTACATTTCCAACAGTCTCCTTCATACATTTGTGCATTGTATATGATTCTCAAAGTTGACTCTCAGATCTTAAAGATTTGTTAGGAAAAAGGGCTTATTCATTTGGTGGAAAAGTAATTTATTCTCAAATAGGAAAAAGGATCTAAAAATAATAGCAGCCATTAAAAATAGAACCAATGAATAGGTCTATTTTTAAAGAAAATGTGAAAACAATCATTTAAAAAGCAAGAGAAAACGCAGAAGTTGGAAAAGTTACCTTCACTCAAATACAGTGATCTAAGAAAGTAAGGATGAAGCCAAGGCAAAGAGGAAGAGAACAAAGGAGCAGGAGGAACAGAAATTGAGGGGCACCTGAGTAGCTTATACAGTTAAGCCTCTGACCTTGATTTCGGCTCAGGTCATGATCTCACAGTTCTGGAGTTCCAGCCCCACATTGCGCTCTGCACTGACAGTGCAGAGCCTACTTGGGATTATCTCTCTCTCTGTCTCTCTGCCCTTTCTCCAGTCATGCTCTCCCCATCTCGAAATAAATAAATAAACATTTAGGAAAAAGAAAAGAAATTGACTAGGAGGAGAGAGAGAGAATTCTAATGGTTACAAAAAAGTTGTTTTGTTTTACAGGCAAATGAGAAAAGTCTGAGTAGGATGATGTGGCCTTTAAATGATATATACGGTATTTCATCCAGAAAATATAGCAGGACCACTGAGCCAATTAAACAGGATTGTGAGCAAGAAGAAGCAATTCAAAGCATTTTGCCTTAAGGATTTAAGGGATATTACTCAGGGTTAGGAACTAGACAACAAATCAGGCCTGATGCTCCTCAGGGGTAAACAACTGAGGGGTAGAACCTGAATTCTGGTCCCTACCTACTGGACCGGGGGGATCATTCAACCTAACATGGCAATAACACAAAGTACAAATTGAGGGTGGTGCCTGGTAACATAATCTTAGGAGGGAAAGGCATTCTGTTGAGAAGCTTCATGAGTGGCAGCTAGCAGAGGATGTAATAATGAAAGAAGGCAGAGAGAATGTCTTGGAGACAAGTTTTTTGTGTTCTCAAGATGAATAAGGTTTTTGCTACTATCACAGGATACTTGAGTGTCAGAGAGCCAGCACCGGCGTGTATTAAGCCACAGAGCCTTGAAAGTAAACTTACCACTCATCAGAATGTAGGTTTGAGAATTTCCACAAGGTACCACAGCCAGAGACTCTGTGACAGAGGGCACAGCCTGGAAGCCAAGCACGTGGGGCAAGCATGCTAAGTCTGTTCGAGCTGACACTGATGGGGCCGCTTAGCCCTATGAGCTCTGCACACTTGAGCTCTAACTAGTGATGCTGGCAAAGGAAAGGGAGGGAGAGGCAGCAGTTCATTCCCTGAATGGGGCAGCACGGGCCCAAGGGACTGCTATAATTGCATTGACCAGGACCCTGCCCCTGAGAGCAAAAAAAAGAGTTACACCGACCCCACAAAGCCCTGTCAGAAGACGGGGGTTGCAGGAGAGCCGCCTGCGGAGCTGGTCCTGTTCCTTACCTCTTTCCAGGCATAGTATCTCTCTGCTTTAATGATCATGTCCACTACAAGGCTGTGGTTGCTTCTGGAGGCCACGGCCAGGGCAGTGTTCCCTTGCTACAAGTTAAAAATAAAAGTGTCAGGCAGGATGGCCTAGTGTTTAACAGCTCCAGCTTTGGAACAGAGGGGCCTGAGTTCAAATCTTGATCCTACTGCCTCCCTGCAGGGTGAACTTGGGTCAATCCTTAGCTTCTCTAGGTCTCAAAGGCTACCCCAGGTTGTAGTGGTGATGGGCAAATGTGGTAGTGCATATCAAGCCCTTAGGACTATGCATGATACATGGTAATTATTCAAGAGATGCTAGATATTGATGATGTCAGGGGCTGTATCCACAGGGCAGGGGAAAAGATTTAGGCTTAGGGACCCACCATCAACAGACGATGTTTTACACATCCTCTATTGATGAGAACCCAAACATCTCTCCGAGACCTTCAGAGGTCTGCCTGGCTCACTGCACTGGGAAGGCCTCAGCAAATAAATAATAGGATCACACATTTTTCTCCTCTGAGGACTGACTCCACCTGTGGTTTGAACTTTGGTCAGTGTGCCACACCTCCTTCCCCTGATAGCCTTTTCCTTCAGCTCCAAGAAGAGACCTCCTGATTTTAGCTGGGCATCTGACCAACCCAAACATTTCTCAGCCTCCCTTGCACTTAGATATGTAACCTAAGTTCTGTTATATAAATGGAAGTGGCATGTGCAACTTCTGGGAAGTATTTCTAAAGACAGTAAGGATGTCATTCTCTTTCCTTTCCTCTTCCTCCTGACTAGAATGCTCACAAGATGGCAGGAGCTTGAACAGCCATCTTAGGCCAAGAAGTTGAAGCCGTGTTTTAAGGAGGGTAAAAAGAAAAGTGCCAGATCTTATTAAGAATAATAGCACCCTTGAGGCCTAGCTAGTGGGAGAGCATGCAACTCTTGATCTCAGGGTTGTGAGTTTGAACCCCACATTGGGTGTAAAGATTAAATACATAAAATTAAAAAAAAAAAAAAACAGTAATAGCATCCATGACGAAACTACTCATTTATAGTACAGAATTCAACCCACAGGACTCCTATCTAGGATTTTTTTCTGTTCTATGGCTCTAACCAAAGGTGAGGGATTGGAAACTTAACCAAATGGAATAAGCAATCAGGGATATTCTGGACATAATTTGGGGCATGAGTGGCTTGGGAATCCATATGATATCTTGTACAAATTACAAAAGGCACACATTTGTCAAGATGGATATAGCCCAAAGCTATAGCACATAGCTTTGCAAGCTGTGTCCCCTAGATTTTAGGCCCTGCACAATGTACACATCTATATGCTTTCCTGAGCAAAGGATGGTGGTTTTTATTTATCTTCAAATGGCACAGGAAAAATGTGCTCAGCCATCCTGAAGATAATCAAAATGAATGGTCAGAAATAACCCAGAAGAAGGGAAATACAAATCAAAACCACACTGAGATACCACCTCACGCCAGTCAGAGTGGCTAAAATGAGCAAATCAGAGAACTCTAGATGCTGGCGAGGATGTGGAGAAACGGGCACCCTCCTACACTGTTGGTGGGAATGGAAACTGGTACAGCCCCTCTGGAAAACAGTGTGGAGGTTCCTCAGGAAACTAACAATAGAACTCCCCTATGACCCAGCAATAGCACTGCTAGGAATTTACCCAAGGGATACAGAAATGCTGATGCATAGGAGCACGTGTACCCCAATGTTCATAGCAGCACTCTCCACAATAGGTAAAACATGGAAAGAGCCTAAGTGTCCATCAACAGACCAATGGATCAAGAAGATGTGGTTTATCTATACCATGGAATACTCCATGGCAATGAGAAACAATGAAATCTGGCCATGTGTAGCAACATGGATGGACCTTGAGGGTGTTCTGCTGAGCGAAATAAGTCAGGCAGAGAAGGACAAATATCATATGTTTGCACGTATAGGAGGATTAGGAGGAACTTGACGGAGGAACAAGGGGGAGAAGAAGGGCGGAAATGGTGGGGGAAAGGGAGAGAGGCAAACCATGAGAGACTCTTGAATGCTGACAAAAACTGAGGACTGATGGATGTGGGGGCGGGGGATGGGCATAGAGGAGGACACTTATGGGGATGAGCACTGAGTGTTATGTGGAAACTAATTTGACAATAAACTATTTGTGAAAAAAAAAAAAAAAAAGAAAAGAAATAACCCAGAAGAAGTTCCAATTTTATGGACCTCCTGTTTCCATGCTTGGGGATCTGGCAGTTTATCCCAATCATTCTCTCACAGGGCTGAGCATCGCAACACAGGCCCCTCCCACCAGCCCACAGGGCTGTGAGTCGAGGTGCTGAGACCCAGGCGAGCTGGAAGATTAGGGCTGACAGTAATCAGTTCCTCATCAAAAGAGACAGCAATGAAATTAGGAAGAATGGCACTTGGCAGGCAATTAGCAAGTCTTTCATTGCATGCTGCCTAAATTCTAGCTTATGAAGCCATTTGAATCCGGATGCTCAGCCTACTGTGTGTGGGAAGGCAGCATTCGGAGAGGCAGCGTTTTCAAGTTCATAGGAAAACCCTCCCAGGCAGTGTGCACAGGAGTGGAAACCCAGAACCCATGCTGCTTAGGGTGGGAAGCCCTCCAGGAGCTTTGGGACACCCCTGACCAAGGGGGCAGGTTTCTGGGAAAGTCCTATTTACACCAAACTCTGGCTCCTTTTTTCCATCCATACTTTCATTCACTCTTACAGTCACTTATCCTTGGTAAAGATTGTGGGAATGAGTAGAAAAGGTAGTTTTTATCAATGAAATAGGTGTTGGCTGCCAACTATGTGCCAACTATGTGCCCAGAGAAAAAAGAGGGAAGAGGAGAAGGGAATATGGGAGAATCAAATTGTGAGTCAAATGGTAGCACTGAGGCTGCTATTTTCCAGGATATCTGGCCACAGGCACTGACAGCCCAGCACGAATTCCCTTCCCAATGCTATGGATTCTCCACCCACAAGAGTGCCCAGAGGTGCTAAGTGTTAATAAAAAAGTGGAATCCAGTATGAAAGGAAAGCGTGGTAAATACTAATGCAATGTGTGAATACTAATGCTAAATGCTAAAGGAAGGTAATGAGCCACAGTGGAAGTTTCACCCAAGTGACAGAGTTAATGCATGGATGCGTTTTCCTTCCTTATGCTTTTCTGGGTTTTCCAGATTGTCCACAATGGGCTTGCCTTTTTTTTTTTTTTTTTTTTTTTAGTAGGCTCACATCCAGTGTGGAGCCCAGAGCAGGGCTTAAACTAATGACCCTGATGAGATGAAGACCTGAGCTGAGATCAAGAGTCAGGCTTTTAACTGACTGAGTCACCCAGGTGCCCCAAGGCTTATATAACTTTTTACGATAATTAAAAAAATTGACATATAGAGAAAAGTAAAATAATACATGACAACTGCAAGTCCCACAGATGTAAAATGTGTGATTCTTCAACAGTAAGGAGGGTGAACTCAGCTTACACAGGGAGTTAGGGCTGTGCTGAGCTGATGAACAGTGTGGTTGAAGACAAGGAAGGGAAAAACAGCAAGGTGCAGAAGCGGTCACCTCTGCTCACAGCTGTGGGAAAGCTTCGGCTTTGAAGCCTGGCTCTGCATCTTACTATGTGTGTGATGCTGATATCACTGAAATCTCTTGAAAACTGGGCTAATTTTGGACACCTCACTGAGGAGATGTGACAATTGAACTAAGGTGCGTGTGTATGAGCACCTAACAGGGCTGCCACACCTTGGTCTCCTGCGTTTACACTTTTCAGTAAGCTAGAACCTAATGGCCGCCCCACAACCTTCCTGTGATTGAGCCTGCTTTACTGCATCAACGAACAAAGTTGTCTTTCTTTACAAACATGTCTAGACAATAACCAAAAGGTAGAAGCAACCCAAATGTCCATCCACAGATGAAAGGATAAACAAAATATGGTATGGACATACAATGCAATAGTATTCAGCCTTAAAAAGGAAGGAAAATTCTGACGCGTGCCACAACATAGATAAATCTTTAGGACATTATGCTAAATGGAATAAGCCAGTCACAAAATGATTAACACTGTACTATTTTATTTACATGAGGTACCCAGAAGAGTCAAGTTCAGAGAAGCAGAAAATAAAGTGGTGGTTGCTAGAGGCTAGGGAAGGACGAGGAAATGGGTAGCTGTTCATAGAGTTTCAGTTTTGCAAGATGAAAAAGTTCTAGAGATTGGATGCATAACAGTGTGAACAGATTTAACACTACTGAACTATCCATTTAAAAATGGTTAAGATGATGGGGCACCTGGGTGGCTTGATCGGTTGAGAGTCCGACTTCGGCTCAGGTCATGATCTCACAGTTCATGGGTTTGAGCCCCATGTCGGTCTCTTTGCTGACAACTCAGAGCCTGGAGCCTGCTTCAGATTCTGTGTGTGTCTCTCTCTCTGCCCCTGCCCTGCTCATATTCTGTCTCTCTCTGTCTCAAAAATAAACATTAAATTTTTTTTAAAGGGTCAAGATGATAAATTTTGTTATATTGATTTCACAATTAAAATTTTTTTTTAAATTTAAGTAAAAATAGTTTAGACACATGTATATTTATTCACTGACTGTAGCTCTGTTTATAAAAGCAAAAGATTAGGAACAATTTAAATGCCCACCAGCTAAACACTAAACAAATTATGATATGTCCACACCACAGTATATTGTGCAGCTACCCAAAAAAGAATGAAGAAACTCTCCTTGTACAAATATGGAACAGTTTCCACTTTATATTTTTGAAGGAGAAAAGCTAAATGCAGGACAATCTGTACAGGTATAGCACCACTGTGTAAAAAGGACAGAGGAGTGTAGTAAGACTGTTAGAGGTTTATGCTTGCTTGTTTATGCATAAACAGAAACTGGAAAGAACAGAGAAATTTATGATAACAGATCCACTGGCAAGGGTGGTACAGGAACCAGACAAACGGGGTCAGGGGTAGGTGGGACATTTTTACTGTAAAATCTTTACTGATTATATTTTTAAATTTTGGACCACCCGAATCTTTAATCTTTTCCAGAGATTAATACAAAATTTTAATTTAAAAAACACATACTTTAGGGATGGCTGGCTGGCTGAGTTGGTAGAGCATGTGACTATTCATCTTGGGGTTATAAATTCAAGCCCTACATTGGGTGTAGAGATTACTTATATAAAAAAAAAAAAAAAACTTTAAAAAAGTACATATTTTATTATGCAGAGTAAAATTTCTTACCCACATACCTCAATCACAATCAGCTGTTTTACTATCAGGATACAAGGTTTCTCTAAGGTTTGTCCATTTTTTTCACAAAGGGTATGCTAAGGTTGCTGTTCAAGGCTTACAGCCTACAGAGAGCTCTTCACAAGCATCTTGGCTGAACACAGTGAAGTCCGTGAGCTTACCTTATCGACAACCTTCAGGTCACAGCCTGCCTTCAGCAAGGTGTCCACCAGTTCCACATTGCCAAGATCAGCAGCTATGTGCAAAGGAGTCTGCTGCCTCTGCCATGAGAAATTTCAAAAATGTAATCTAAACACATTAAAGAGAAAAACTTGAATAATGAAAAGGCAAAGGGAAAGTAGAGATGTCCTATTTAGGCACGAGGGAAAATAGATTAAGATCACATTTTAAAAGAAGTACGGGGACATTTGCTGCACGATTATTGACAACAGTGAAAAACTGAAAGGAAGTTACATGTTTGACAAAGAGACTCATTGGATAAACTGAGATATATCCACATGTTGGATTAGCAGGCAGCCACTGAAAATTACTTCTAAAATATGACTTCAATATGATGTACTACAATAGTCAAGTTCATAGCGACAGAAAGCAGAGTGGCGGTTGCCAGGAACTGCAGGGAGGGCAGAATGGGGAGTTAGTGTGTCCTGAGTACAGAGTTTCAGTTTGGGAAGACAGAAGAAGTTCTGGAGCTGGGTGGTGGTGACAGTGGCAGAGCAAGGGGAATGTACTTCAGGTCACTGAAGGATACATTTAACAACGGTTAAAATGGTAAATTTTATGTCATGTGCACTTAACCACAAATTAAACAATGGTTTCAAAGATTAATTTTTAAAACGTAAAAAATACTCGTTTAACACTGAAAGCCTCAGGACACAGCACTGTATCTAGAGAAGGAAACACATCAGCAATAGTAATAATAATGTCAAGATGGCAGAATTAGGGGCTATTTTTATGGCTTTCTCGATGCTTTTCTCTATCTTGTAAATTCCCTATGTTTATATAAGAGAGTGCAAAACTCGTAATTTCTTTCTGGGGTAATCATTTTCTTCACAAGATGATAACGGTGTTTCAAAGAAATACAGTATCACAAGAAAATCACACACTTTAATCTCTCACTGACAGGAATGCTAATGTGCAGACATTTCTAAAATATTAGTACTGAAAGGAATGCTGTTTATGGTTTAGTCCAACCCTTAAACCAGAGACAGGAAGCAACTTCCCCAGGGTCACACAGCTGGATGATAGCATCTAGCTCCGTACTCTGCCAATGAGACACAGGGCCAACCAGCTTGGGGCGTTAGTATAATTAGTATTAGAAAGCAGTGATTAGAAGACTCACTTTTGGGTTGCAATCAGCCCCTCTGGGGGCTCAGCCAAAACATCACACTTACACTGACAAACAATCAAAGGTCTCCGTCGACATGGAACAGAGACACAAGTGTCATACCTCAAACACCAATAAAATCTCAATTTGACAACACTGCTGTAAGTCTAGAAGGCAGGAAATGAATGAATATGTTAACAAGAGTTCTCTTTCTTAGAGGAATGACAAATTATAAATTTTTATCTTATTTATATTTTCTTATTGTTATACATTGAATATATTCCCAATCTAACAGAGAACTGAAATGATTAAGTCTAGGTCTATAACCGGCGGGCAGCCTAACAAACCCTCCTTTCTAGAGTGAATCTAACCAATTATGATGAAACCGAAATCACACATGAGTTCTGTGTATAGAGCAAAGATTATGCACATTAGGAAATATTTGGGGCATTAACATCTTCAGACACGTTAAGTATGTATAACAACAAAAAGGTTCCCCTTCCCTCCCCCACAAACATTTAGGATAGTAAAACACAAGGAGCAGCAAGGTCCCTGGAGGAAGAAAGGGACGGAAGTGTAGGTAAGTCTCTATTCCCATCTGGCACAAAGGAACTCCTAGGTTGGAGATGGAGGAGACTGGACAGATCTGTGGCACTGCACCGGTGCCAAAGACATGGAAACAGAGGGCTCCCCAGGGGGCTAGGCAGGCATGCACACTGTATCTGGTTGCTCCCTCCCCTCAGGGTCCAGCTGAGGCTTCTCTAGGTAGAGACAACCAGAACGCCAAGAGGAGTCTCGAGTTCTCACCTGTCTCCAGGGCTCCAAAAGGGCTCCTCTCCCAAAAGTTTCTCTTCCTACTTCCCATAGCTCCTGGTAGAGGCAGCTCAGCGCCAGAGGAGGCCACGATTCAGACAGTGCCCACCCCTATAAATCTTCCACCTCACCATTTCCATATCTAGCCAGTGATGGATTCCTCTTACGGGGCATTTGACTCTGCTCCAGTAGATTGAATTTATGGTGCCCTTTATTTATTCCAAGAGGTCTCTTTTGCCTTTAGATAAAAGACACATTTACAGTCTCTAGTACAGAAACAAAACTTCCTCCTTGTGGTAAAGGGCTACTGGCCAATTATATTTCATACTGAAGGAGTGGCTTTGATTTAAAGAGCATCTAGCAATTTAACTCTGAGCTACTATTTATCTATCAGAAGTGCTGGGCCTGTTAAATGTGAGCAGTAACTGATCCCCAGTTGTGTGTTTGAAAAAGTATGTGTGTGCAAGTGGGAGTGGGGGTTACAGAGGAAAATGGATAAAAAGAATATGTATATTTTTCCCGGAAAATTTTCAAGGCAACTTGAACTTGCTCAAAACTACCTGTAACCACACACTGCACTGAATCATAAGAAAGCAGACTCTCTAGGTTCGTATTGCCTGGCTTACCTGATTTAAGATGTCAGTGTCATGCTGTGCACTTAGTAAGCTCTTTACAATTGTGATATGGTTGTTGATAACGGCTAAATGAAGAGGGGACTCCTTTGGCTGCAGAAAGAAAGAACATTTTCAAATCCAAAAGGATCCTGGCTTCATCATTCACACCAAAAAGAAAGTCGTTTCAACAGACATCTCCTAATAATCTCTGAGTACTAGAATTGCCTTGCACAGCAGGCCAATAGCAAGCATTCAGCATCAGTTCCATCCCAGGACTGTGCGACAAACCTGCTCACCAGCAATCAGCTCTAGGACTATACACTGAGCACCTACTATGCGAGGCTAGGGATTGCTTCTAATCCAGTGGGACGGGAAAATATTGTTGTTGTTGTTGTTGTTGTTTTTAATCACAAAATAAATATATAAATTGTGATAAGTGCTTTGGAGGAAAAGTAGAGACTGGTATGAGAGTATATGTGGGATGGGCAGAGGGCTGACCTTACTGGAGATGAGAAAAAGCTTTCCTGAAGAACTGACACTTGTGCTTTTAGAAGAAGGATAAGAAATATGAAATAGGCTTAACTGCGGGACTTTTCAGAGCCTTCAAAAAACTAATGTATGGGGGTGGGGGGGTGGGGATAGCTACAAGGAGGAAAAAGCAGTATTTCCTGGAATGATTTGATCTAGAGTTCTTTCTCCTTAGATCATTCCATGGGACTAATGCTCCACTCACCCGGGGGGCACCATTCTCATGTTTAGCCCTCCCATGTATGTAGAGTATATATACAGCCCCAGGATGTTTTTGAAGCCTCTCCAGCATGTTCCCCTGTCCTCATTTGCAGTTAAAATGGCTGTCTGGTAGCCACACCTTCACCTGGAGTGTCCTAGCCCCTCTCAGCCATCTCCAGGGGTGGGCTTCTTCCCCTGCCCTGCCAGGCTGTCATGACCAGATCTAGAATCACACACTTACCTCCTGCTGCCTCAGTGACACACAGCTGCCACTGGCCCATGAAGACAAGAGAGAAACGTCTCCAGGAATAGAGAAGGTAGCCGAAAAGAAAAAAAAAAAAAAAAAAAGGTAGGGGAGAAAGAGGTGAGCATGAGAGAGAGCAAGCTGAGGGGCAGTCACGGTAGAGGGAAGGTCTTGGGAGATTAACGGCAAGGAGGATGGGGAGGGGTACAGGTATCAAAAAGCAGGTGCGGGCAGAAGACCCAGCAAGGCTGTGAACAGTAGTAGGGCTGAGAGCCAAGACAGGAAACACAGGTGTGTGTGAGGGTGGACGATGAAGGTAGAGCGCAGTGTCGCTCAAGGAAAAGAGAGATTAATAATAAGCACCAAGTTAGGGACATTTAACATATTCTTATAATGCTACTTACTGTATACTCACTTCCCCAATAGTTTATACTCTGAACTCTGGGCTAACAGTTTTTATTAACAATAACCCTAGCAGTTAGATCTTCTATTCTTCACTTCATTTATTTTTTAATTTTTTTTAATGTTTATTTATTTATTTTTTTGAGAGACAGAAAGACAGAGCACGAGTGGGAAGTGAGCAGAGAGAAAGGAATCTGAAGCAGGCTCCAGGTTCCGTGCTATCAGCACAGAGCCCGATCCGGGGCTTGAACCCACAAACCATGAGATCATGACCTGAGCTGAAGTCAAACGTTTAACCGACTGAGCCACTCAGGAGCCCCTATTCCCCCACTTTATATATGAGGGGCAGAGCAGTTAAATAACTTCTCCATGGCTTTGGAGCCTGGAAGTGGCAGAGACAGCATGTGAACCCCTAATCTGCCAGACGCCAACACTGGCACCAGGCTCCTTCCCAGGAAACCTACCATGAAAGAAACTGATGAAAAAGATGTACTGAGTTGGCAAGAGCATCACCAGCCCACAGAGGGAGAGGAGAGGAGGGGGCAGGCAGGACACCATGGCCGCATAAATCAGACTGCCACAGGGGTGAGCAATGAAATGGAGATGGCTGGGCTGGTCAGGGCAGTGTGGGAGGGAGGCTTTCTGTGCAGGCCTCTTCTACTCAGGAAGAATGTTCTGTCTTGAGGCACCAAGCATGAAAAAAGAAAAAGCGTCCCTTGGGCCAGGAAGTAGGCAGTGTCCTCCCAGCCGGGGCCCCCAGCCTTGCTGGCACCCAGCCCTTTCTGAGAAATGGGAACCATCCTCGGATAGACCTGGGGAGTTCAGAGCCAATGCCTCTAATGTCATTCTCCAAAAACTACCAGACATGGTCAAACCATATCCCTTCTCTCCAATTAATATAGTAAATATAATAAACAGTAATGGCCAACCACGATCCGAGGAAATAATATTCTCACAGGAGAAGTGAAAAGAGAGTGAAAAATAGAGGAATGCTTTCCAACTACTGCCAGCACAGAGGGCCTTTGTTAATCCTACCAAAGCCAACTCAAACTTCAGAAAACCTAAATCAGTATAAAGGATTGACTTTCAAAAGAAAAACAAGATCACTCAGTGATCACCCAGGCTCCAAGGGAGGGAAAAATGATCTCTCTCCTTCCCATTTATAACAGTGGCCTTTTTCCCACATACTGATAAACTTAATACAGGAATAATGGCATCCCTGGACATCTGAGACAGTTTTATTGCAGCAGATATCAATATTTAAAGCACAAAGATTTCATTTTGTTCGGGAACTTCAATGACTTTATAAAATTCATCCCTTGCATTTTATTTCTCAAGATTAAGACTCAGCCTCCAAAAGAAGTCAGTCAGCTTCCCCAGAAAGAACTCCTCCTTTGTGAACATCTCATTCCCCTTCCCCCGCCTCCACCAACTATCTGCAAGGAGCATCTCTGCACCCAGCTAGGCTCCAGCGCCAGGATCAAAGCCCATGTTATTGGAATAGACTCACTTCCACTTCCTGGTGCAGGTCAACATGCTCCCCGAGAAGATAGCTCACAAGGGATGTGTGGCCGTTCTGGGTTGCTATCTGCAAAGCACTGGTGTTGAGCTGCAAGACACAGGTGGAAAAGGCAGGGAGGACCCCCATTACAATCCAGCCTGCTTTCTGATATTCATCACATGGTAATTAATTAATACAATGAAACATACAACTATTTACAAAAGAAGATCCAACGTGGTTCTTATTATTTTGAGAGCCTCTTCATTATTTCTAAGTGTTTCCCATACAGGAGAGTCCTAGTTAACACATGCCTCCAGCAGATATGAGTTAAATCCCTGTCGTCCCTCTCTAAGTACAAAGTGGACCAGGGCTGAGTCTTCTCTCCGTACACCCTGCAAACACCCTCCTTGAGCCAAAATGGCTGACTTGGTATTGGCCCCAGGAACTCCCTCAACACCTGCTGCTCCCAACTGCTTACCTGCAGCTCTCCCTTCTGCCAGGTCTGGCTTCAAAGCTCAGCATGATTGCTACCCATGTGCAGTGTTCCCTCATGGCCCCTTACTCAACTCCTTCAGTGCCTCTCCTTCCCTGGCTCCAGCTGCCTCCCACCATTCCCTATGCTCAAGTGGCTTTGCTTGCTGTGAACGCCAGATAACAAAATTGCTCTTGATTTATCCTGCCATCCTCCAAAAAGTCTTAGCATGGTGCTTTGCAATAGTATAAGGTCAATGGATAGTTGATGATTGATTAATTTTAAGATTGCTACAAAGTATTTCTAGGCCCACCAACCAAATAAGGTTCTATAGGATGTTATGTTTTCCAAGAAATGGCTGCCTAAGTAACTACCATCTCACATGCCTGCCTGCACTGTGACCATCCACTCTCCCATCAAGAGGTCTCCCCTGGAGTCTGCCTGGACCAATCAAGAGTATGGCAGAAGTGACAGTGTTCCAGGTCCAGGTGCAGCCGCTACCCAGCCTGGCAGCTTCAGCTCCCTGCCTATTAAAAACCATCTGCCATGGTGTGAAGAAGAGAGACAACATGTCTGTGCTGTTCAAGAGCTCCAGCTGAGCTCCCAGCCAACAGCTGCCACCAACTGCCAGGCGTGTGAGTGAGCCACGTGAACGGCCAGCTCAGTTAAGCTTTCAAAGAACCTAAGTCCTGGCTGACATCTGACTACAACCACATAACAGACCCAAAGTAAGAACGTCTCAGCCCAAGAACCATGAAAGATAATAAGGCTTATCTTGTTGGGTTCAGCCATTGCACTCTGGGTTGGTTTGTTATGAAGCAACAGATAAGATGCTAAAAAGAACAATACACATGCTGACCAACTGGACTCTGGCTGGAGCTCCTACTAAATGTCTATATGACCTGTAAGTGGCCTCTCAAGTATGGGCCTCCTTGTCTTCATCTGTAAAAAAGAACGCAACTATCAGTTTTTATCAGTGCTAACAACAAATTGCCACAAACTCAGTTGTTAAACAATACAATTGTATTATGATACCATTCTGGAGGTCCAAAGTCTGAAGTGGGTCTCACCGGGCTAAATTAAAGGCCTTTCTGGAGGCCCTCGGGATGATTCACGTCTTTGACTTTCCCAGTTTGTAGAAGCCGCCCACATCCTGTGACTCATGGCCACTCCCTCCTCCCACCAAGTCCTCACCCTACATCACTCTCACCTCCTCACTTGCCTTCCTCTTCTACCTTAAAAGACCTTTGTGATTACGTTGGGCCAACCTGGATAATTGAGGGAAATCTCATTTTAAGGTCAGCTGATTAGCAACCTTAATTCCATGTGCAACCTGAATCCCGCTCTGCCTTGTAACATAACATAGTCACAGGTTCCGAGGATTAGGATATGGACAACTCTGGACAGTGGCGGGCTAGCATTACTGTGTGGAATCCACATTCCACAAAAAAATTATTGAGCACTTATTATGTGCCAGGCACTATGTTGGATGGTGGGGAGATATGACGGTAAACAAGATGTCCATTACTACACTCCAGTAGAGGTGGACAATCGATCTATAGATTGGCAGACTGGTAGGTCAGTGAAACTGTGGATGGAAAATAAATTTATTTACTAGATCTAGATGTTATTAGAATAATATCAGCTAGTAATAAGGGCAAGAAAACAAAGTAAAACAGTAGGACTGGAGGGCTACTTTCTGGTGAGTGAGCAAGAAAATCCTCCCAGGTGGGCGACATGTGGACGAAGATCAGAATGGTAAGAAGTGCCCAGATGAGAAGATCTAACTCAGAAACAAGTTTGTGAAGAACCTGAAGCCAGGACATAGTAGGAAGAGCTGTGGCACTCCAGCATGTCACCCCAGAGGCACTACAGGCACAGTGGGTAGGGCCTACAGACTTTTTAAGAGCCAAAGAAATGTTTAAAATCTTTTTTAAAAAAATGATTGATTCCAAGATACCAAAAGAAAACCATGAATTTAAAGTGAATAAATATTTAATTGACATATTCATACCTCATTGATTCTTAAATGTAACAGTCATAAAATATTCATTACATTTGTAAACAATTTGTAGGTTAAATCTTTTCACCTCCTCGAATTCCCAAGGATGCACAGAGTTCTAAGAAACCAGAGTCAGTCATAAATTAGGGGAGTTTATCATAGCCAATAAAAAAGTTTTTGAAAATAATTTACAGCAAAAGAAATTAATGTGGAATTTTGGGGCATTTAAATATGTTTGATAAGGTATGAGGGTAGGGTTTCCGAAATGAGTTGTTAAGGTCTACAAAAGTCTTCACTGGACCAGAGGTGATTAGTACGACCCTGAAGAGCACCTATTGCCCAAATCTTGGGCACTGTTACATCCAGCACAAATGGATGAAGCCTCTGCTCACAGCTAAATCCATAATCTCCAGTTACCTTCTCAGAAATGACCCAGGGACACCCGGGTGGCTTAGTTGGTTAAGCGTCCGACTTTGACTCAGGTCATTATCTCATGGTTCATGAGTCCAAGCCCCACAGTAGGCTCTCTGCTATCAGTGTGGAGTCGGCTTCAGATCCTCTATCTTCCCCTCTTTCTGCCCTTCCCCTGTTTGTGCCCCTGATATGGGGCTTAAACTCACAAACTGTGAGATCATGACCTGAGCAGAAGTCGGACGCTTAACCAACCAAGCCACCTAGGTGCCCCTATCATTAATATTTTTTGGCAGCCATATAATATTCCAAGAAAAAGATGCAGCAAACTTTTATTTGGCTTTCCTCTAGGATTCACTGCATTTATAGGTTGTATCTAATTCTCAGCCACTGGAGGCAACTTTATTATCTATCTTAATGCATGTAGCTTTTTCCAAGGTTATTCCCTTAACAGAATTTCTCAAGCCTGAGTGAAAAGAAAGTGACAGAATGCTTTTCAAAAAGCATTGTACAAATGTACAGTCCCACCAGCAGAATACAGGTATATAAAACATTACTGGTTTGGAACTTTATTCTTGATTCTAATGTTTAACTTTGTACCTTTTGAAAAGGAATTGTCTCTAAGGCATATCTTGCTTTACTGCACCTCACTGATACTGCTTTTTTTTTTTTTTTTTTCAAGTTAAAGACACAAGACATCAGTGCAGGAAGTAACTGCAGATGTGGTGGAAATAGCAAGAGAACTAGAAGTAGAAGTAGAGCCTCAGCTGGAAAAGCTCTGACTCTTGATTTTGGCTCAGGACATGATCTCACGGTTTATGAGATGGAGCCCCGTGTCAGGCTTTGTGCTGACTGCACGGAGCCTGCTTGGGATTCTCTGTTCTCTCTCTCTGCCCTTACCCCCACTTGCTCACTCTCTCTGTCTCTAAAATAAACATTTAAATTTTTTTTAAAAAAATCGCCACAGCCACCCCACCCTTCAGCAACCATCATCTTGATCCATCAGCAGCTGTCAACATCAAGGCAAGACCTTCCACCAGCAAAAAGATTATGACTCACTGAAAACTTAGAGGATAGTTAGCATTCTTTAGCAATAAACTATTTTTTTAATTTTTTTTTTGAGAGAGAGAGAGAGCAAGGGAAGGGCAGAGAGAGAGGGAGAGAGAGAGAATTCCAAGCAGGCTCCATGCTGTCAGTGCAGAGCCTGATGTGGGGCTCCATCTCATGAACCATGAGACCATGACCTGAGACAAAATCAAGGGTCAGATGCCTAATGAACTGAGCCACCCAGGTGCCCCAGCAATAAAGTATTTTTTGATGAAGGTGTGTATATTGTTTTTGGGGGGGGGGGCATAATGTTATTGCACACTTAACAGACTATAGGAAAATGTAAACATGACTCTTATAGGAACTAGGAAACCAATAAATTTATTTCACTCACTTTTTTGTGATACATGCTGTTTTGCAGTGGTCTGGAACCAAACCTGCAGTATCTTTAAGGTGTGCCTGGACAGTGCTCTGACCTGGAGAGAGCTCCAACATTTATTGGCACTTAAAAAAAAAGCAAGGTGCAGAGCAGCAGATACATGCAGTGTGCTACCATCCATGTGGCGTCAGTACTTACATGTGTGTGTGCTTAGTCAGATAAAATAAGCTATTAATTACATTACTTCTAGGGAGGAGAAATCGAGATGTATTGTTGGAATATAACACTTTTCATCATATACCCTTTGGTACTATTCCGAGTTTTTGTTATTTTCATTATAATTAAAAATTATTTAGAAAAATGGAAAGTAACACCATCTGAAAGGCAAGGCCATCACTGTGGTGAGAATCCTCACCACTGCCAGCGACTAGTCAGATAATCCTGAATGAGTTCCTTAACTTTTCTAAATTTTAGTTTCCTCACCAAAAAATGAAGATAGGTGACAAAGGATCTTAACACCACGAATACAAAAGCATTCTGCATTTACAAGAAGGCTCCATCCTGTCTTCTTCAAGCTTCAGACTGACCACTTGGGCTTCCACACAATTTTTTTTTCTGTATATACTGTGCATAAGCCAGGCATATACAGTTGTTAGGGAGAAATCAAGGTACAGTGAGCATGTCTCTGTACTTGAGATGTAACAACTATCTGCTCCGTTTGCCCCTGTTTTCCAAAATTACAAATAGTAATTCTACAAAAGCCTAGTGAGTGGATCAGTGCAGGACCAGACTACTCAAAGAACGTTAAGAGTCCCCCTCCACTATGTGAGCGAACATGGATGGCATGTAGCACGTACTTTATCTGGAACGTTGATATCACTTCCTGCTGTCAGTAGCACTTTGCTGCATTCTTCATGACCTCCTTTAACAGCCAGAAAGAATGGTGTTTCTCCATTCTTAGAAAAAAAAAAAAAGGAAAAATGTTCAAATTAATTGCCCCTTGGCATGAAATAAAATTACTTGAGGAATAGCATGCTTTCTGTATACCCTTTGTGCATTACTCTTAATGGATAGTGTTTACTGAGCATCTATACGACAATTTATATTGCCAAGACTATACACCGCGGCAGTGTTAAATGGACAGCATTGTGAGGTCAGGATTAGTATTATCCCCATTTTACAGATAAGGAAACTAAGCCTTAGCTGAAAAGTAACACAGCTAGGATGCAAATCCAGGTGTTTGGATCCAAAGCCTGCACCCATACCTATCCTGTTATTCTGCCTCCTTGCAGGCTTTTCATCCACAATTTATACTCTTAATCTTTATTAATTTATCTCCAAAACATTTATTAGACACTGCATGTTAGGCAAAGGCACAGGGATTGAAAAGACAAAGAGACACAAACTCTGCCCACAAGAAGGTAACAGCCTATTAAGCAAGATAATCATAGAAATATGAATTATAATGCAATGTGAAACATCCAAAAATAGAAGCACATTTGTACCAAGTACAGCTTTAAGATTTAAAACTGATTTAAACTATTGTGTGTTGTTAAAAAAAAAAAAAACAGTAATACTCTTTCTCAGTAATTAACTTTCCTGAAACTCATTATGATAAATGCTAGTAGGATAAAGTGAGAGCTTGGTTTAGGCCAAAACAAAGAAAGAAAAGAAGGAACTGGTATTGCACAATAGCCACTTGGATATTACCCCTTCCTCATGCAAAATCTTTCCTAAAAATTTTGGGAAGAAATGCAGAATCCCTTCCCCTTCTCTAAACATTTCCCCACTTGGGCATTAGTTTGCTTAAAAATGCATTAGGATAAGTTCAAAAGGGTTTTCTTGTAACTAATTAGATATGAACACTCTTGTCAAGAGGGATGCAGGAGCATGGAACCAATGTTTCCATCCCAATGAGAAGGAAAAACTATATCCAGCCTGCTTTACATGAGAGCCTGAGACAGCCATCTGTTACAGAAGAATTTCTCCTCATAATATGCCTTCTCATTTTCCTGGAAAAGAGACACCAAATGGCAAACTGCAGTGGGAAAAGCATTAGTGAAAAATGTGAAGGAAAGAATTCACATTTAAAAAAATTTTTTTAATATTTTTATTTAAGATAGAGATTGTGTGTGCACACATGCAAGAGGGGCAGAGGAGAGAGAGAGAGAGAGAGAGAGAGAGAGAATCCCAAACAGGCTCCATGCTGCTGGCACTGAGCCAGACACAAGGCTTTATTCCATGATCCTGGGATCATGACTTGAACCGAAATCAAGAGTTGGATGCTCAACAAAATGAGCCACCCAGGTGCCCCAAGAACTCACATCTTTAATATATCAGGAGCCTAGTAAACATTTATATCTTTGACCCAAAAATCCTACCTTTCAGAATACACCCAAAGGCAACAGTGAAGAATTCAGACTATGGTTTTTATACAAAGATATTCATGACAGCATTAATTTTAAGAAAAGACAAAAGGAAATAAATAAAATGTCCAAGAGCTAAAGAATAGTCATGTGAATTCTGGGCAGCCAATAAAAATATATATGCATAGGAACACAAAGAAAATGGAAGGAAAATATATCAGATAGCTCTAAAATAATCATTTCAGTATGGAGAAAATACAAGAACTACTATTTATTTTTATGTTAAAATTTTATATATGTATATGTGACAGATGTATATGCATCTGTCACATATACATATATATGCATTTCCTAACTGATAGGAAAGTTTGCTTCCAAAACCGTTTATTTCCTCACTGATAGGAGGAAAGACTCTTTAGAGACAGTTCCTCCTATATAATCTGCAATTACGGTGTGTTGGACTTTACGAGCTCTCTCTAATGTGCCCTAACTCAAAAATAGCTAAATGGTGTATGAAATCCATGAGCACACATTCCAGTGGTAAAATATTAAAACAGCCAGGCAAGCATGACTAAGACTTTAAATTAAATCCTGTGATTATAGGACTTGATCTCTATATTGATTTGTGAAGGCTGATCACACCTAAGATTTATTCTAGGTGATGAACATGTTTTTTCTCACGTTTCTCACACATCATTCATAACTTGTATTTAAGACCAAATTCCTGAGATCTTTAAATAAGTTAAACCAATTAAACCTGATCATTATCCTTATCATTATTATGCCAGATGGTCAGCAAAGACTGAACACACACTAAAGTAAACAAATGAAGGCTCTATTTTTGTCCATGATTCTCAAGTGAAAGCTTGGCTTGGGGCACCTGGGTGGCTCAGTAGGTTAAGCATCTGACTCTTGGTTTCAGCTCAGGTCATGATTTCATGATTCATGGGATGGAGCTTTCAGCACAGATCCTGCTTGGGATTCTCTCTCTCCCTCTCTCTCACCCCTCCCCTGTGCTCTCTCGCTCACTCTCTCTCTCACACACACAATAAATAAATCAACTTATAAAAATACAAAAAAAAGAAAGCTTGGTTTAAATTCTCCCAGGAACTTGAAGAGAAAAAATGAGGATAATACCAATATATATAAATATATACCGCTGATAGAAACGATAACCATGATCCCATTTATTGCACCAGGATAACACCAATGATAACAACAGATCCCACTTATTACATGCTCACCATGTGCCAGACACTATTCCAGGTGCTAAGTGTGTGACACGGCCTTCCCATTTAAACTTCACTGTGGCCTTATGAGGTTATTTGATAGATGAGTAAACTGAGGCTAAGAAGGGCCAAGTGCTGAGCCCAAGATCACTTACCTAGAAGAGCAATGGAGCCAGGACCTGACCCACACAGTCAGAGCCCTGCTTTCACTCTCTAGATGCCCAGACCCAGGGACACATGGGACTAGCCTGGGGCACTTCTCTGGTCCAAAGGGAATGCAGACTTAGGACATCAAGACTGAGTAAGAACCAAGCTTAGTGTCAAGTTTAGGAACCAACTTATCTTACTTATTTGTTCCTTTATATGTGTACAATAAAAAATCTCAGGTGAATGTCTAAAAAACTCCATTAAGTATAAACTAAGGGACAAAAAAGCTGCTTGTTTGTGTCATTGTTTAATTGGCAGCATTATATTCTCTTAGTGTTACATTAAATAATGATATACCTCACAGGCACTAGTGTCTTAAAAGATTACATTACCTCTTAGAGTATTGCTCAGAGAGGTACCGAGTTTACAACGTATCAGAACGTTAAACTCTGCACTCCAAGAGGACTCTATTCACCTGAGTTTCCAAAGAGCCAGTCCAAAAGTCATTGACCCAAAGATTAAAAGTGACCATCTAGAGCAGATCTGCTGCCATGGCACAGCTTCTCCACTGAAGCCTGTGCCCAGCTTCCATCTCCCTACTGACCCCAGATAGTTTCTGTCTCCCCCCTGCTCCCCACCTGAATGTCTGCCCCTACAGGTGCCTCAGCACAAACCCATTCCAAACCCTTCTTACTGATCTCACTCACACGCTTCACGCCTGTGCTCACAGCTTAGCGGTGGGCGCCCCACCCTCCCAGTAGTCCAAACTGGTGAGTCAGGCATCCGAAAGTCTTCTCTCTCCTTCGTTCTGGCCACAAATCCTGTGGCTTCTGTCTCCTCCTATTGCTTCATCCTCTTTGCTCCGTGTGAGTGTCTGGGTGACAGGTTTTCCATAGCTCTTGCTTCAGCAGTTTCCATTTGTCACCTGACTGGGTCTCCCCGCCTCCAGCCTCTCTGAGAAGCAAGATGCCTTCAAACCACTGGGACAGTCATAGATCTGTGCCCAAGATGGAACTCACCCTCTTTGCTGTTTAAACCCCTTCAAGGTCTCCACTATCTACAAGTCAAAGCCAAGCCTCCTGGGGAGCACAGTCCTTCTGTATCTCTGCCTTGGCCCTGTCAGCTCCCATCTTTTTGCATACCCGTCCAGCCCTTAGGCTTCTAGAATAAGAATACATACTCTCCCCAGCATAAAGTACATATTAAGCAAATATTTTTTGAGTCAATGGGAAAATAAATGAAGGGACTAACAAATGACTTGCTGGGATACTTTAGAGAAAAAAGAAGGAATCTTGTAACATCACATTTTACGCTCGGCGGCACCAACATCTGTGTTTTCCTCCCACGAAACCCATTCCTCCCACCCTTCCGCTTTTGAGTCTTGTACCCACCCATAATGAGCACCTTCACATACCTCGTTGATCTCATTTATTTCTTGCCACTGTGTTAGCAGCACCCGGACCACAGGACTGTGACCATGCTTTGCTGCAAGGTGCAGGGCAGTATTTCCCTCCTGCAACGGAGACAAACTCACCATAGAGTCCGCTGCACCGAGCAACACGACCTTCCCACAGTCAGGGCTGCAGTGGGGTGTCTGAGGGGTTTCATTTTGGTTAAAACTGTGGTCAGGAGTGTAGGCCACGTTAGCCACAGTTTCAAGTGAAATTTATAAGTTTTTAAAGCTTCATTTTTTTCCTATCATGCATTATTTATTGTTTTACCTTTTTCATTTAAATCTTTCTTCCATTAGAAATGTATCTTGATGCATAGTGCTAAACAGGGAAAAATCTTTTGAAAACTATTTTCAATTCTCCTGTGGCATTTTCTTATGCTATCCCCTTTATTCAGTCAATTCCTCTAATCTGTTAGTTCCGATTCATTTTTATTTATTTATTTTAATGTAGTTTATTGTCAAGTTGGCTTCCATATAACACGCAGTGAAAAGACATAGTTGTTCCAACAAGTGGGAAAACACCATCTATGGCCCTTGTTCTACCTTTACTGCTAATCTGCTAGCAAACGGTGAAACAATAAAAAGCAATCCATATAACCTATGTGAGGGTAAACTGGTGAAAAATTTCTGCGAGATAATTTTAGCAATGCATACCAAAAGATTCAATGTGTAGACTTTTGAAACCACAATTCCATGTGTACATGTAAATTTCTCCTACAAATATAATCAAAGATGTGAATATAGATATGGGTGTCTATCAGGGTTTCCCTCCCCAGTCAGGTAAGACTGAGTCTCCAGCAGACCTCAGGGGAGAAAGAGAGGACCCTGGAACTGACAGTGGAAAAATCCACACAGTCTGTTGACTTCACAAACACTTATTGGGTGAAAATTGGCAATCTGGATGATCCACTGCCAAAGTGGGTTCATTTCATCTGGATTTTCCATTATTGTGACTGTAGTAATAAGTGAACACGTCTATTCCTGACCAAAATGTCATCGCCAAATCTATATACCAGCTGTCACCCACCCCCCCACCTTTCTCTCATTCTCCACAAAGAAATAAAAGACCAACTCACCGTGTCTTTTTCTGAAGTATGTAGATTAAGGAAGATAAATTTTTCTATCATTTCAGTGTGGCCCCTCTCAGCTGCCCAAAGAAATGGTTTTCTTCCTTTCTGAAAATAAATCACAAACTTCCAGTGTTTATTATACATTTATTGAACAAGCAAGACAACAGAGAGAGAGAGACAGAGCACAAGCAGTGGAGAGGCAGAAAGAGAGGGAGATACAGAATCCAAAGCAGGCTCCAGGCTGCTGTCAGCACAGAGCCCGACATGGGGTTTGAACTCATGAACTGTGAGATCATGACCTGAGCTGAAGTCAGACACTTAACTGACTGAGCCACTCAGGCACACCATCTAACTCCAAATATTTTAAAAGAGGAAAAGGTAGTGGCAGAGGTGAGGGGTGGGGACCCAAAATGGAGGCAGAAATATTTTCTTTATTTAAAGACAACACTCATGAGGGTACATGGGCAGTTTAGTCAGTTAAGTATCATACCCTTGATTTTTACTCGGGTCATGATCCCAGGGTTTGTGGGATCAAGCCCCACATGAGGCTCCGTGCTGACAACATGAAGCCTGCTTGGGATTCTCTCTCTCTCTCTCTCTCTCTCAATCTGTCCCTCCCCTGCTCACATGTGTTCTCTCTCTCTCTCAAAATAAATAAACTTTAGTAAAAAAAGAAAACACAAATTGGTGTTTCTTGGCGTGCTATTCACCAAAAGCTTAGCAAAAATGTTTGAAATGTGAAAAACAAGATATAAGCCTCTTTATAAGAAGGTTCCTGAATCTGGGGTTTGTTATCTGATCTCCTGCTAATGCAAGGTAATGTAAAGATCATGGAGACTGGTAACTTGAGATGATAGCACACGATTCCCCCATAACTGGGGAAAAAAGGAAAAATGTTGAAACAATAAATGGCAAAACAAAATGTCCACGAGGATCAGCCCTATGGACCTCTGCATTCACACATATATGGAAGTTGGAGAAACCAAATGGTGCCAAAAAGTTCACCTCATTCATTATTCTTGAGCCAGACCTGTTGGCCAGTGAGACCTACATCCTCAAGATACTATGCTAAGAGGTCTGGCTCTCATTGTCATTCTCATAAAGTCACTCGGGAAGGGCAAAGAGAAGGAACGGTGAATACTTGGGCCCCCAGTTTTCTGACAGCAAGTTGGACACCTAACAGAAGAGAATTTAGTCTTGAGCCATTAACAACACTTTGGAAATGACAGACCAAAAATCACCAAGTCTCGCTTATTCAAATATCTGCAAATAGTGACAACAGAGAAAGGTTCATGTAAAAAAAAAAAATGACAAGATGTGAGAGACATAATTATACACTACATGAAAACATTTAGTCACATAGCCTTACAGATTATTCACTCATTTACTCCACAGTAAATGAGCATCTACGAATACGCCAGATATTGTGCTCAGCAATAGAGTGGCCAGGATGAAAGATATACTGCCCCATCCTCAAGAAGCTCAGAGTCCAACAGGGAAAATGGACACATGAGCAAGTAATGATAATGAAATACAGTAACTGAGCCCCGGTGACATGGAGAGGTATGTAACCCAGTATGAGTGTGTGTTTGTGGGTGGGGAGACAGGTGACAAGAAATGGGGGAAGAAACTATTTTAAGTTCACTAATGCACTGAATAGGAGAAAGAGCACTGGTGAGGTTTCCTGCCCATCTTTTCTTCTGGAGAAACTGGCTCATTTTTGTGGGTCTATTAATTATAGGCTCCTGCCTCTTCCAAAGTGTATCCCCTGGTCACACTGTTTGGTTCAGGGATGGTCACACACCAAGCCAGACCAATCAGGGTCAACTGTGGGATATTTTTCTGGTGCATTCTATTTGTGCTCTAGAGTCAGCAGCTAAACCATCAGCAATCCTCTCTGTTACCTGAGGATGACAATTTGCCTAAGAATAAAGCCAGCACAGTGGAGAGCAGAGCTGGAAAATGGAAAAAGAGACAAGGGCCCTGCTGACATCATTTGCGCTGCTGGACTCAGACATACCTAAAATTACCTGTGCCTGAAGTGTTTAACTGAATGTGTCAATAAATTCCTTTTATTTTCCCTTTAACTAGTTGGAGTTGAGCTTCTGTCACCCCTCGATAGCAGACCTTCCTTAAAGCATCTGCCCTATCTCAAAGAATTATGAGAGTGACTTCAACGCCCACCAGAGGGGATTTTTGGCTTCAACTAAACATTTCAGAATCACAGAATTATCACAGGCCACATCTGACACCACTTTACTCTGAAGATGTAGAACACAAACCACAGCTGGCCAGGGTCAGCCCTTCCTCTTCATACCATGTCCCTACACAGCTGTCCAGGAGCTGCTGCCTTTGCCGCCACCCACCCCACCCCACCCCACCCGCCCCAGGAGACAGTTCTGTTGCAAGGTGACAAATCTACATTGGGCAGGCATTGGGGCCACCCTGTCTAGAAGGTTGGTGTCCCACAGGAACAAATACCTCTTGTAACAACTCCTCAAGCATAGCTTCCAGATCCCCTCAAGGGACATGCTCTGTTCGTTACACAAGTCATTACACTCAGAGATGCCTAAACCCCAAGTATAGCTTCCTCCTCTGGTGTTCATAGTGCATCTGCAGTTCCTCCAAGTCCAGATGCAATATGCCAATTAGGGATCATTTTTATCATAAACACTGCTTATCTTGTTTGCAGGGACACAGAGCTAGAAAGTTAACTAATGTTTAAATTCTCAGGCAGAAGCAAAAGGGGTCTTATTAGCCCTTTACCCACAGAGACCATAAATAATACACGAGGGTGTTGTGTCCCAGAGTAGACATTTGCTGCTTTTAGGTCTATGTTTCTTCTAGTCACAGCAGTTTCATTTTCCTTTTGAGAACTTTGCCACTTATACACATACCATTTATCCCTGCAGTGCTGTCAAGTGCCAGGCTTTACCTGCCCCATGAAAGGATCACTTTAACCCATGCTGGTCACAGTGATTGGGCAGATGATTCAAGCAGGGCCAAAGACAGTTGTTTCTGAGATTGATATATGCACATTTATTTTATTTCTTTCTGAAGTTTATTTATTTATTTTGAGAGAGAGTATGCACACATGCATGCACAGACAGGAGATGGGCAAAGAGAGAGAGGGAGAGAAAGAATCCCAAGCAGGCTCCATGCTGTCAGCACTGAGCCAGATGTGGGTCTTGAACTCTCGAACTGTGAGATCATGACTTGAGCTGAAATCAAGAGACGGATGCTTAAATGACTGAGCCACTCAGGCACCCTATCTTTGATCATTTAATGAGAGGAATTTTCTTTCTTAGGAATAAAAATCCATAAGAATATCCCTAAGAATATCTTTAAACTGCGAGCAGCCATCTTTCCCACCATGTGGAGAGTATATCTACCAATAATACCAACAGAGACAATTGAGAGTTGGAGAGGAAACAAACAAACAAAAAAGTGCTGGATCCAGCCATGTCTGAAGCCATTCAGATACACTGTCAAACCTTTTAGTTAGGAATAAATAAATTACTTCTATTGCTTAATCTAGATTAAAATGTTTTTTTATCCCTCATAGCAGAAAGAAGTCTAAAGAATACATATTTAGCAGTTTGGGAACAAATACTACTAGAAGTACCAGGGATCTGTTCAACTTTAAAAAGGCCTTACTCTTACCCTTGGTTGCTACAAAGACTTGCATTTCTGCATGGCTAAACAAAGTGACAGAGGACCCATCCACAAAGGAAGCCTAGTCTGGTAAGAACTGGGAGATTATCACAGATGAAATATTTTTCCTCACCAAGAAAACAGCTATTGCTTTCAACTTTGGATGCCCTTTAAAAATGCGATTATCAAGGGAAAAAGTGAAAGTGAAATTACACAAAACAAGGGCATTTAAAGTAATTTTATAAATTTATCCAAAGGCAGCATAAAGAAAGATGAAGTGACAGTAAGATGAGATCAATTCTCTCATCTTAGTACATTATTAGGAAAAACAAGAACTTCAAAAATATATGGGTTTTTTTCCTGTTTAAATATTGTTTCTTATCATATCTCACTTCATTTTTTACCCATCCAATCCTTCTGAAAAGATGTTCAAGTTGGCCTGTATGCAGTGCAGCCTCACAGGACTCCTGCCCATCTGGAAGGCAGGGAGATTTTCCAGCCAGGGCCGTGCGTGGAACAGAGGTGTCAGAGCCGCAGGCTGCAGACCAATCACGATGCCTCCCCAGCTCAGGATGCCAATTCTCTTCCCTAATTAATGAGAATGAGGGGCTAGAATTCCTGTTACCTTTTTCCTTCACTAACACAACATCTATCTAACCTAACATGTTTTAATTCAATGCATTTAAATTCTTTGCATGTAAACAAGTCTGAGCAGATGTAATTGTTTATTTGAAATTATTTTTCACAGCACCAGGTTAGCTATCGGTTAAACTTCCAACTTCGGCTCAGGTCATGATCTCATGGTCCCTAAGTTCAAGTCCCACGTCGGGCTCTGCATGAACAGCTCAGAGCCTGGAGCCTGCTTTGGATTTTGTGTCTCCCTCTCCCTCTTCACCGCCCCCCCCCCCCCCCCGCCCCCAGGCCATGCTCGTTCTCTCTCTTTCTCTCAAAAACTAAACAAACATTAAAATTTTTTTTTTCCAAATTCTTTTTCATTTTGAAGTTTACTACCAGGGTTACCAAATTTGACAAGTTACCAAATTCAACAAAAATTTCATAAACAGCCATTCAATAGGCATCCAAAGTCCAAACTGACTATTCTTTCCCACAGGGATCCCACAGGTGGTGTCCCGGAGAACCTCTGGGCGGAGGCCAGCACAAAGCACAGCCCAGAACAAAGCCCCCCAGTGCCATGGCATCCCTCCTTATCTTGGGACCCTCAAAACAGAATCCCAGCATAAAGAGAAATCCAGAAGATTCCTTAATAACTGGAGATTTGAGAGGAGAAAAAGAAGTTTCTGTGAAGTGAAAAGTACTCAAGGAATAGTGTGTTAAATATGTAGTCATGGAACTTGGGTGGGTAGGAGGAGCTCTCTCCTTGCACAACGGAACCCATAAATATCGACCTCGGGTCCATATAAGAAACTATATCTTCCCAAATCCCCTCATGCTCATTTTCCCAACACTCCAAAATGGGAAGCTTCTTTTCCGTCTTACCTCTAAAGACTTCTTATAAAGATTCATTTGAACCAATGGAAGTTCTCATAAGCGTGTAGCCAAAACCAACCTTACATTTTACCACCAAACTCTTGGATTCAACAACTATTCACATACTCTAAGGACAGTCTTTTCTGTCCTGCTCCACTTCAAACATTTTAATTTGAGTACTTATTTTTGATTACTAGATGGAAGCTCACATGTAGATTCAAAATATCTACACTACTTTACCCGAAACTTCTCCTGGTTACTCTAATCTCTCTTCCCTGGGGAGGACACATGATTTCCAAAGCTATGGAGCTGAAAGAAAACTCAAAATATTTTCAGTGTCTTCCATCTCTCCCATGCTCACCCACTCTCCTGGGCCTAGTTAAATCCCTTTTATTAATAAAGACCGCCTCCCTACAAGGCTTTCCTTGTTAGCTTTTGGAGTTCCCTTTTGGGCTAGAGAAAAGAATCTTACTAATGCCAATCAGGTAAACAGGCTCTCAATCACTTTCTGCCGATAAGAAAGTAGGCAAGAAGGCCAGCTATGAGAGTGAAGCAGTTTTTTTCTATCAAATGCATTCAACAAGTTCCATTGTACTTTTAAGTAAACACAGATGGAAAATCCAATGATGAATTAACAGACCCTGATCCCAGTTCACACTGGATTTTGCCAACATCCTTGAATCCCACTCAACAGATCTCAGAAAAAGAATAGAAGATTTTGTCATTTGCACTCCACCTAGGTCTCTTCAGAACTAAAATTGGACTCAGAGATTCCTTTCTCCCTAATGAGCCAGTGGAGTATTTATTTACTCATTCCTCATTTGTCTCTGAATCCATCTTAATTTTAAGATCTCTCATTTGGGGGGCATCCGGGTGAATCAGTCAGCTGAGCATCCGACTTTGGCTCAGGTCATGATCTCACAGTTCGTGGGTTCGAGCCCTGCACTGGGCTCTGAGCTGAGATCTCAGAACCTGGAGTACTTGGATTCTGTGTCTCCCTCTCTCACTGCCCATCCCCCGTGCTCACTCACTCACTCTCTCTCTCTCTCAAAAATGAATAAGCATTAAAAAAAAAATCTCTCAATTGGACATGTGGTTCTGCACAGTCTGCTGCCAGGGCTCCGCAGTCTTTTTCCTACCAGACAGAGGAGGAGGAAGAGGGGTGGGACAGGACAACCCCAGAGGCAGCTACAGAGGTGGTGGACAAGAAGGCTGCTGGCCAGCAGAAATTCCAGAAGTGGTGAAGGCTCCCCGCAAACTTGCTTTGGTCTTTGAGTTTCTTCAGCCTATTTGATCCACACACTGCTGTCTCCTGTGAAAGCAGCTGGAGCCACCGAAAAGGAAGACCGTCATGTGTCCCATAGATAACAAATATCTGCTAAATGGAATTGAGTGGAATTCATTCACAGGTCACATCCCTACTTAGCATCCATCAAACCAGAATGATCTAACATCCTCACTGTGACACCATATGCTGTTTGACTATGATTATCTTTTTGAGGAAATCACATTAGGGACTTGCCCTATGATACTGTTATAACAACTGCATTTAGTGAGCACTTTCTACCAGGCTCTTTGCTAAGTGCTTTATAGTCATTAACTCATTTAAATATTCCAATGGTGGCTGTTCCAATATTGCTACATAAGAATGGCTGAGGAGTGGTGTCTGATTGGAAAGGGCTGGTGGAACGGTTTATAATGAAGTTCAACAGCATAGGCATTTTTCACATAAAATTGAGGAAATGTCAATAGTCTATATCAAACCATAGAGGTATTGCCTCCCAATTATCCCTCGTAGATACTGAGGCTTTCAACAGTTGGAGAACTTGCTTAAAGCTGTATAACTAATACATGCCCAGACCACAGCCTCCAAGCTGTCTGCCTCCAAGCTGTCAATGTATAGATGCTCAGTCATACTCAGGAAGTAAAAGAAATTTATAGACTTCATTTGAAGAAATAGTTGTTATCATTGTTTTTAAGACTGAGGTCAGGAAAGACTGTAAACTTTTTTTAAAAGTAGTGAAATGAGGTGAGTATTACTGATTAATTTATGGAGAGACTTTTATGGAGAGTAATGTTGTAGGCAGGGTGAAAAAGAAGTCCCATTTGAAATCAAAATGTCAATCTCACAAGGTATACTCCCTTATGACAAAGGCCTAGAAGGAGATATTCCAGGAAAAAGACAGTTCGTGACACAGAGTGAATGCCCACAGTCATCTGAGAAGGGAGACAGAGCAGCATGGTGACTTAAGGTCAGTCAGACCTGTATTCAAACCCGCTCTCACTTTCCAATTCTGGGATATGGATGAGGTATTCAGACTCTCTGAACCTCAAATTCATCACCTTTAAAAATAAGAAAATCCGGGGTGCCTGGGTGGCTCAGCCAGTTAAGTGTCTGACCTTGGCTCAGGTCATGATCTCACAGTTCATGGGTTCGATCCCCATGTTGGGCTCTGTGCTGACAGCTCAGAGCCTAGAGCCTGCTTCAGATGCTGTGTCTCCCTCTCTCTCTGTCCCTCCCCTGTTTGTTCGCCCTTTCTTTCTTTCTTTTTCTTTCTTTCTTTCTTTCTTTCTTTCTTTCTTTCTTTCTTTCTTTCTTTCTTTCTTTCTCTCCTTCTCTCTCTCTCTCTCTCTCTCTCTCAAAAATAAACATCAAAAAAATAAAAATAAGCAAAATCCTTCTGTATAGGATTATTATGGGAATTAACAGGAGAATTCATTCATTTAGCAATGATTTGTTAAACCATATACACCAAGCCCTGGACCTCTCAATGAAATAATGTATGTAAATAGCTTTCCTCTGTACCTAGCACACCAATAAATACTCAATAGGTGGTAGCTGTTATTATTATATATCTCTATTTGAAAACAAAATTAATGTAGACAAATACAGTAAAACTGCATTATATTCCATGGTTCATTATTACGTAGACTTGGGTCAAATACACTCCAAAAAGGCCAAGCATAATGAAGTAAAATGAAAGCATACATTCCAAATACAAAACAGGGTGGATACTGTCTACACCCAATCAGGATGAGGGTGTAAAGAGGGAAAAAGGAACTTGGCTGCTTCCTCAATACTTCTCGCCCTCTCCACACGCAGATGCCAAGGTCACCACCATCGCCAGCACTTCTCATCTGTTCTGTCGTCTGCCAGAGTGATGGAGGAGCCGGGCACAGGGCCAGGTCCATCTGTGATGGCTGCTTTGACAGCTCCAGTGGGAGTGGGAAGAGAGAGGAATGTGGTGGAGGTGTACATGGGACCTGTCCTATCCCAGCAAACATACCTCATCAGGCTGGTTCAGGTCCTTCAAGTGTAGATCTTGAATGAGGTACTCTACGATGCGTACATTATTGTTCTGAGCTGCAAAGTGGAGGGCATTCATTCCATCCTGAGGAGAGCCAAGGTGGGGGACATAAATACACAATGATCTTAAGACTCCCACAACCCACACTGGTACAGTGAGGACTATCATACCTACCTGATTCTTGGCTCTCTGGTCTGCTCCAGCTCTAACCAGCATGAGCATGATCTCAAGACTTCCAGACCAGGCTGCAAGGTGAATTACTGTCAAGCCGTGCTTCCCCAAGAAGAGAAAAGAAAAGTACCTATCACTTGGACAAGCCACAACACCTATTTCAGTCAACGAAGACCAAGTTAATACTGAACTGTTGCAAATGAAGAAATAGGGAGAAATTTTAATATTCATCAAATGTGATATTTCAATTCTATGGGGGAAAAGAATACATTTTAAATGGTGCAGGGACAAGTGGTTCTCCACAGGGAAGAAAATAAAATTAAATCCTGTATCATATCATACACATAAAAAAGCACACAAAAAGCATATATATTCGAATAAAATCTAGTCTGTAAGACACAATGTCCTGATCTACAAGTTACAAAAGGAAAGACTCACGATAAAGTCAATAAACAGATTTTTCAAAATGTATCTTAATAAAGTTAAGTGGTTACTTTCTCTACTGTTAACAAATCAAGAAGGAAAAGGCAATTAAACCAATTGAAAAAGTGTACCCAAAAAAGGTGCTCCGCGTATAGGAGGATTAGGAGGAACTTAACAGAGGACCATGGGGGAGAAGAAGGGGGGAAATAGTGGGGGAGAGGGAGAGAGGCAAACCATGAGAGACTCTTGAATGCTGAGAACAAACTGAGGACTGATGGGTGTCGGGGGGGGGGGGGGGAGATGGGCATGGAGGAGGGCACTTGTGGGGATGAGCACTGGGTGTTATATGGAAACCAACTTGGCAATAAACTATTTGTAAAAAACTAAATAAGTAAATAAACATTAAAAAAAAGAAAAAAAAAGGTGCTCTCGTAAGCTATTAGTGGAAATGAACCATTATGGTTTCAGCAATTCAACAACATCTACTGAAATTTTAAATTCAACGAGAAATTCCATTACTGGTAATCTATCCCTTGAAAATGAGTTTTAGGATGTAATGTTATGTAAACAAAGATATTAATTATAACCTTTAAAAATGAGAGCAAAGGTAAATGTCCATCAATATAGGAATGCTGAATACATTAGGGAACAGTCAACCCACATCATGCAGCCATTAAAAATAATGAGTTAGAGGGGCACCTGGGTGGCTGAGTGGGTTAAACATTTGACTTCTGATTTCAGTTCAGGTCATGATCTCAGGTTTGTGAGACTGAGCCCCACATTGGACTCAGGGCAAAGGGAGCCTCCTTTGCATTTTCTCTCTCTTTCTCTTTCCCTCTTTCTCTCAAAAAAATGATAAACATTTAAAAAAAGGTGGGTACATAGGTAGACAGATGCTCAATACCTATGTGGATATGATTAGGAGCATGAGGAAAAGTATAGAAAGAAACACACATACTCTGGATTGTTAAATGTAGTCACTGAAAAAGGGGTAGGTACACAAAAAAGAAAAAATGGAAAAGATTGAAATTATAAAAAGAATTCTATTATATATACCTTATATGAAATATTTTCTCTATATAAAATTATATAAGTGCACATGTGCATGAAATAGACTATCGGAGACTTGATCAGGACCTACTGACCTTTAGGGATGCTATAGGAAGTTTGACTCATATCCTGAATGAGCAGGAGAAAAATGTGAAAGAAAATAGCTAACAGTTAACACTGACTGTCTCAGTCAGATAAATGATTAGTATCCAAAATCTATAAAGAACTTATCAAACTCAACACCCAAAAAACAAATAATCCAGTGAAGAAATGGGCAAACGGCATGAACATGCATGTTCATCCAGATGACATCCAGATGGCTAAGAGACACATGAAAAGATGCTCAACATCACTCATCATTAGGGAAATATAAATCAAAACTTCAATGAGATACCACCTCAAACCTGTCAGAATGGCTAAAATTAATAACTCAGGGAACAACAGATGTTGGCGAGGATGTGGAAAAAGAGGAACACTTGGACTGCTGGTAGGAATGTAAACTGGTGCAGTCACTCTAGAAAACAGTATGGAATTTCTTGAAAAATTAACAATGGAACTACCCGACGACCCAGCAATTACACCACTAGGTATTTATCCAAAGGATACAAAAACGCTGATTCAAAGGGGCACATGCACCCTGATGTTTAAAGCAGCACTATCAGCAATAGCCAAATTATGGAATTATGGTCTCTCTCTCTCTCTCTCTCTCTCACACACACACACACACACACATATGTATACTGGAATACTACACAGCAGTCAAAAAGAATAAAATCTTGCCATTTGCAACAAAGTGGATGGAACTAGAATGTATTATGCTAAGCAAAGTAAGTCAGAAAAAGAGAAATATGTGATTTCACTCATATGTGGAATTTAAGAAACACAACAGTTGAACATAGGGAGAAAGAAGGAAAAATAAGATAAAAACAGAGAGGGAAGCAAACCATAAGAACCGCTCTAAATACAGAGAAAAAACTGAGGGTTGCTGGAGGAGAGTTGGGTGGGGAAAGGGGCTAAATGGGTGATGGGCATTAAGGAGGGCACTTGTTGGGATGAGCAGTGGGTGTTGTATATAAGTGATGAATTAATAAATTCTATTCCTGAAACCATTATTACACTATATGTTAAGTAACTTGGATTTAAATAGAACTTTAAAAATTAAAAATAGGGGCGCCTGGGTGGCTTAGTCGGTTGAGCATCCGACTTTCGCTTAGGTCATGATCTTGCGGTTCGTGGGTTCGAGCCCCGCGTCGGGCTCTGTGCTGACTGCCAGCTCAGAGCCTGGAGCCTATTTCGGAGTCTGTGTCTCCCTCTCTCTCTGAGCCTCCCCTGTTCACGCTGTCTCTCTCTCTCTCCTAGAAATAAAAAAAATAAAAAAAAATTAAAAATAAACAAATACATGGGAAAAATAAAAATAAAAGTTCCATTTAAAACCAAACCAAAAATACTTAAAAATTGGCTGTCTCAGGAAGGTAGAATTGGAGGGTGCTGAAGTAGGAAAACTAGGACCTGCATTCTAGGCCCCAGGTTAGAGAAGTAATAGAGAACAAACATTATGAGCATGATATGTAAAATCAGAAGAAACGGACCTCCAATTCTGACTCTTGTACTTCAAGTGCTCTGATCTAGTTAATGCTCACTTTCAGGTTCCTTATCTGTAAATTCATGTGTCGGCTTTTCTGTTTCCTTTTATCCCTGGCAAAAAAAATCACCCATTACTGTGTTAAAGTGCCTTCCAAAAATAAGCCTTCTCAGCACATCTTATCTGCATCTCCTAATCGACTGTGTTTGTAACCCAGGAAACCAGTTTGCTAGATGTATACAATATGACTAAATAAACAAGGAATGAGGGTCTGTGGGGACACTTCCATTTCTAAACTGTGTAAGCCTTTTGGCATTTCTTTTGGCTGCCCCAGAAATTACATTAATGTATTCTCTTCTTCTCAAGAAAGTACAAGCGTGGAGAAGTGAAAAAAGAGGTCCCGAATTATTGAAGTGTAACTCTAACTTAGTGGTTCTCAACTGGAGGGGGGGCAGAATTTTGCCCCCAGGGGATACTTGGAGATGTTTGGAGATACCTTTGATTGCCATGGCTGAGGGGAGATATTGGCATTTCGTAGGTAGAAGCCAGAGATACTACAAAACATCCTATAATCCTAAACAGCCCCCCACAACAAAAAAACCACCTGGCCAAAATGGCATAGTGCCACTATTGATAAGTCTTGCTTTAAATGTACCTACTCTATAAAATTTACATTTCAGCTGTCACACTATCTGGTGAGTTAGTCTATTTAAATATTTGTAATTCCAGTACGAAGAAAATGCTTACCAATTTCTGCACTCTTTTTCCCAAGGAACAATGATGTACAATAACTAGTCGAGGTTCCTCAAAAAATGTGCCCTGAATACAATTTCACTCCTTAATTACCTTTCACTGCAAACCCATGCTCTATATTCATTAATACTAAATCCATTTTCATGTATGATCAAAAAAGAGGTCAGAAATATTTTTTATAGAGGAGAAATCACGTTTTGATAGGAGCTCTTTTTTTTTTCTTCTTCTAAGAGTTCATGCCTAATTTCAAAGCAGGCAACACTCAAATATTTCAAACACTAATCATAAAATCCAAGAGTCAAGAATTCAAACTGCCATCAACAGGAACGTCTGTGGCCGTAAATTCCAAGTAGAATCATTCCTCAGAGGCAAAGAATCACTGCTCACAGATGTAAATTTCTCCATAGAAAAGTTCATAAAACTATGTCTTATGATATGAAACTGACATGCCTAGGGCAGTGTGTGTGCATGTGTCATGTATTACACTCACACTTAAACAGAATGCTCTGTAAAGTGCAAACGGCTCACAGTCAGTGACAACCTGTGCTTATCACCAGTCTGGTTGTGAGAAGGTCAATAACTTCCCCTTGGGAATACTTGCACAGGAGGAGCTTCCCAGAGATAAGCAGCTCTGAGAGAGGATGCCTGTCATTATCCCCCAAGTACCGCCTCCACTCGGGAGTTTTTGTTCACTTCTGGAGTAAGATCCTCCATTTATCAGGTGTGCCTGTTCCCAAGATTCAGAGATGTCACCCACTTTGAACCTGGAACTCTTAGCATCTGATCATGCATCTGATCTTTAGCTTGCAATGCCCTGATTGATACTCACACCTTATAGTCTCAGTCCTTGCTCCCTTAATAGACTGTACACCCTTCACAGCAGGGACTGTCTGTATTGCCAATGCTTCTGGACATAATCACCTGGGGATCTTCTTAAATCAGATTCTGATTCAGGATGTCAGGGGTGGGGTCCAATGCTGCATTTCAAGCTCCCAGGAGGGACCAGTGTATTTGGTCCTAAGATTACATTTAGAATAATAAGAACTTATATGGTGTTGAATCCCCAGTAGTTGGCATTGAGACTTAACCACAGAAGGCAATGAATAAATATTCATGGGGAAGGGATTTGATTTTTGGCTCTTTGCAAACAGGTGTTAGAGCTTAGGAGACACATCTGCCAAGTCAAACTCAGAGGTGATCACACAGATAAAGAGACTGCCAGGCTTGACCAAACATTATTTTGAATTATAAAAATAATTTTATTAGTTATGTAGCAATACCACTGTGAAAACTT